CAAGGTCAAGTGTAGATTTCGTGGCAGGCGCAGCACTTTCGCAAGGTCAAGTAGAGACTTCGTGGCAGGCGCAGCACTTTCGCAAGGTCAAGTATAGATTTCGTGGCAGGCGCAGCACTTTCGCAAGGTCAAGTATAGATGTCTTGGCAGGCGCAGCACTTTCGCAAGAGTAAAGATTTCGTGGCAGGCGCAGCACTTTCGCAAGGTCAAGTATAGACTTTGTGGCAGGCGCAGCACTTTCTCAAGGTCAAGTACAGATTTTGTGGCAGGCGCAGCACTTTTGCAAGGTCAAGTGTAGATTTCGTGCCAGGCGCAGCAATTTCGCAAGGTCAACTACAGATTTCATGGCAGGCGCGGCTTTTTCGCAAAGATAGCGAAAGGTAAATAGATAGATAGATAGATAGTTAGACACATAGAGAAAGAGAAAGAGAGAGAGAGAGACAGGTAGTGATAGATAGAGAGAGAGAGATAGATCGATAGATAGAGAGATAAATAGATACATAGATAGATAGAGAAAGATAGAGAAAGATAGAGAAAGATAGAGAAAGGAAAATAGATAGATAGATGGATAGATAGTTAGACACATAGAGAAAGAGAGACAGAGAGAGAGAGACAGAGAGAGAGAGAGAGACAGAGAGAGACAGAGAGAGACAGAGAGAAACAGAGAGAGACAGAGAGAGACAGAGAGAAACAGAGAGAGACAGAGAGAGACAAAGAGAGACAGAGAGAGACAGAGAGAGACAGAGAGAGACAGAGAGAGGGAGAGAGACAGAGAGAGACAGAGAGAGACAGAGAGAGAGAAGCAGGCCAAGAACAGTTCTCCAAACTATAGTTGTTCACTGCTTTGAAACTTCCGCCCCCGGCTCTGCCGGACCTTACTTGTATAAATATATATATATATGTATATATATATATATATACGCGGATTCACTAAAATGACACAGCCAAACTCGCAGCGATGCAGCAAGTCCCAGTGTGAAGTTTGTATACCCAGTTGATTTTGTGACAATAGTGATATGCGCTGCCTTGTGGGTGTGTAAAGGAGATGACAGACCCAAAATGAGGCAAGCAACTCTGCGCGCAAATGGCAAGTTAATAAATCGCCCCCTGAACAACACGGGCGTGCCTCTTTTTGAGAGCACACCTTTTGCGGTTGTAAAGGAAACCCAAGAGGAAACCCACCATCTTAAAGGAGCCCTCGAAAAGACACACGCAAGCCCACACACAAACGTAGCACTATGTTGAAAACATGCAATACCCAAGCAGTCACATGCCCCTAGCACATGCCCACACCCACGCCAACACACGCCTTCGTCATGACGCATAATTAGGCGGCGAGCAAACCAGCCATGTGAAAAAGGTGGATGTCTTCCGGCCACCTTTTGAAAGGAAATGCACGAAGGACAGCGAGTTGTTGTTTTTTTTCCCTCTGGGGGGGAGGGGAACCCGCAAAAAGAAAAAATGTGGGCACACCCCAAAACTCGGACTCGGACATGAGCGGATTGAATCGGCCCCTGAAGCATCCTGAAGCTGCCTTGATGCGAAGAGCAGCTGGCAGCTCAGCATCTGCCTGACGCTAAGCCAACCAAATCTCGGGGAAGGGCGTCTTCCCCCGCACCAACTTGGGGGGGGGGGAGTTCTCCTCAAAATCGTCACCTGAAAATGGCTCCCGCTTTCCTCGTGGCTTCCGTTTCATCAACCCAAAGGGGTCCAATTTGACAAAACCTAATAGAGCATGGGACATGCAGCCACTAGCCACTGCGTATAAAGGCTTTGTTGTCCCGTTATCCCTCCCCGAAGTGGTTGGCATTTAGTGCGAAGCCTGGGGGCTTGCAGGCCATTGCTGCTGCTGCAACGACACCCTCGGTAAAAAGTTGAAATCACTCCCTTGATTTCCACCAAAAAGTTACAAAGTTCAACAGGTCAAGTACATCAAGTACATGTCCAATTCGGCTGGCGAACAGAAACCGTCCTGAGAACGCTTGGCCAGCTCTCGCAATTCATTCACGGTCATCAAGTACGTTGGCGGTCAAAGCGGAGAAACAGCAAAACCCTGGAGCCAACAAACAATATTTGGAGGAATCTCCATGAAGAAAAGGGTTCCCCCTTTAACACATCACCCCGGGTGCCAACTCGGTCGGGCCCAAAAGGTGATCTTTACAAGGGGGAAATGAGGGTTGAAATCAATAATTTGTCTTTTTGGCCGCCCCGGCCATGACCATGGCTAGCTTTTCCCATAGGGAACATATACAACTTGTCTAGTGCTTTGCAATGACTTTTCCTAAAATGCAAAAAATATAACTTGTTTAGCAAGTCATCCCATTGTAAACGGACCTTTTGGTCAACCCCCCTCCAAAAAATAAAAAATTAAAAAAAAATAACACGCCACTGGTCCCATGCTCGAACCAATCGCCCCACGCCCCACGCCTGGCGCTCCGCCAAGTGCTCGCAGAGGCAGTGCGCCAAAGCAGACATCACCGGCACCCCGGGCGTGAGCATGTTCAGCGTCACCCCTGTGAATGGGACAAGGGAAATGGGTAGACGAAGGGGTTGGGTGGAACAATAGATCACGTGTTGGTCATCACCTTTTGGGACCCGTGGGGGTGGAATTGGGTGGAATTGGGTGGGGAGTAGGGGGGAACAATGGCTCACGTGTCGAAAGGACCTAGAAATACAAGGTGATCACCTTTTGGGACCTTTACTGAAAGTGGTTGCCAAAAAGGGAAAACCCAAAGGGTAAAAAGTTGGCTTTGCACAACCGAGACAAGGGAAAGGGTAGAAAGATCAGTCTTCCCGACACCCAAATGACTCCTTTCGGCCCCTTTCGCGGGAAGTATTCTCTTACCAATGGTTATTTTACGCGAAGGACCTTTTGATCAAACCCCCTTCTTGGGCATTCTGTTATTCTCCGGTGTTGGGCCCACATCTAGTGAGTATTGGATTTTGAAAGTGTCACTGCAACACCTGCGCTGTGATTTAGTCAAGTGGGACTTGGGAACCATACTTCACCTCCAGCACCCCACTTGGTACAAACAGTTGCCCCAGAAAACACATCAAACTGCACCCGTCCGCGAGAATGACTACTTGCTGAGGAAGGCTCATCTTCTCAACAAGGTGGACTGGAGGGCTGGCGATGGGAAGTCCAAGTCGACCCCTCGTTTCATGCCTATGTATGTTCGCCAAGGGCGCAACGTAGTTTTTGGACATAGCTCGAAACCTAAAGCAATACCTCCATAAGACCTTCACCATTGAGTCGCAAGTCCCCCTTTTTTCATCTACAAAAGTCCACCGACTTCTCGACCCACATGGACCTGAAAGGCGAAGCGGCCCAACGTGAGCCCACGCCCGGCTTTCTCCGAATATCACGCCCGGCGTTCGATCCAATTCTCGGCCGCCAGGGCATCGCTTTGCTCCTTGGCCAACCTTCGACCCCAAGCCCGGGATGTTCTCACTTGCCCAAAGGACCCGTCAATAGAAGGTGATCACCTTTTGGGACCCCTACTAAAAATAGACCAAACAGGGAAAACCAAAAGGTCAAAAGGTCGGCTTTGAACAACTGAGTGTTTCTTCTACCGCCACAAGGCCGGAGATGCGCGATGGTACCGAAGGTTGCCCCACGTGGGGGGGGTGGCACTGCAACCCTTGGAAGGAGAAGTCGGTGAACCAAAGCCCCCGCCTACTCGTTGGCGGGTTGGCTTGCGAAACGCCAAATCAAGGTCTACATGTAAGGGAATAGGACGTCCGCAAGGTGTACGGAACGTCAATCACATCGACAACCACGTTTCAAGTGTCCATCCCGTATCGCTAAACACCCATGGGTTGGGGGGCTCAAAAACGCCGGTCGAACTGGCATTCGCGGGCATTGGACAACCCGACAAGAGGCTATCAATGCTGCTTCGTCCGATTCCGCTAGAGCATTTCATTGAGGCCGACTTGCTTCACCATAACGTGCTATACGCACACTTTGAATTTGGATTTGCAAACCTGGGGACAGCTGATGGCTGCTTGCCGACTCGGCAGCTGCTCGGCAGGTCGCGTCATTATAGAACTGTCTGTTTGTTTGTTTCCTAGCAAGCCATGTAGGAAATGCGTCCTGATGTGCAAGATAGGCTGCACGACTGCCCGACCTTTCCAATTCACCCAACAGAACGAGTCTGAGCATGGACGCCTCACCGAATGAGCTTCTGCGAGCGAAGCCCTTGCGTATGGCCGGAGCCATTGGCTAAACTAAGCGGTGCATTGGCATCAGATGTCTCAGCGGCCTTGGGACATGCATTTCATTTGAACACAGCTGGCAGCTGTTGAGAAAAACAGAACTCGCAGCTTCTGAAGGCCGCTGACAAGCGCATCTTTTTCAATTTGGCAAAGCTATGAGCTTTCGCCTCGTGCAAATAATGCTTGAATTCTGCCACACACCTTCGAGCTGCAGCGCCAAGTCTCGGAAAGGGTGAAGAAAACTCCTTTCGCCCAAGCACACGGCACTAAAACACAAGAGTAAACCAATTTTGGTTATACAGTACCCCCACGACCCATTCTAGTTGGTGAGGCCCTTTTGGTAAACCACGGAGACACACACACACACACAAATGTGCTTCACGGGGGCATGGGAAGCTCATCCATGCTTCGTATCAAGGAGTCGTGATCACAATATCCACATATCCGATGACATTTGCAGCCACATCTTGGTCATGGCCCAAACGAAGCTGTAAAGCAAGGTTTCGTTGTTTCACCGTTTCACCCCCTTCGTTTGCTGAAGCAATGCGGCCTGCCCTTCGAGAACTTTCCAAACCCTACGCGGTCCAAAGTGAAAAGGTAGGCGTTTCTGTTGCCATGCAGCGAAATCCTTCACCCCTTGCCTCCTGTCCTGATTTGTGTTTCTCGCGCTCTTTCCGCCAAAGCCGCCGCGGGTGCTCGCCACGGCTCCGACACCGGTTTCGAAATGTTTCGAAGCCCGACCACAGGTCCACGGGTGGGTCTGGGGTCTCGGGTCATCGGTCGGCTCAACGGTCGCAGGCGCCCAGCAGGGCCGAGCGCATGTCTTCCACCGAGGCGTAGGACGGCAGCTTGAGGGTCTGGAAGCAAGGCACCTCGTTCGCAAACGTGCAAGCGGCACTAAGCTATATGCCTCAAGCCCCCAGAATCGAAGCTGTTAAAGCACCTGAAAGTAAAAACACACACACACACACACACACGCAAATCCAAGGGTCAAGATGGAATTGAACACCGCGAGTACACCTGTTACTAGACACCGGCTTCTTGGGTGAGTCCACTTTGTTGGGAGCGTCCTTGAGGGAAACCATCATTTAACAGGAATACTTGTTTGTTTGTGTTTTTGTTTGGGGGGTCCCCTATTAAAAGAAAAAAACACGCAATCCTGTGGAAAGGGTCTAACATCCGGATTACATGAAGGGCTGCAATAAAAATGCAAACAAATGTTGCACAAAAACAACCACATGATCTGAGAAATGAAATGCTGTCCAACAAAAACAAGAAGGAACAAACAAAAAACAGCCACGCAACTAGCTATCCTCCAGGCTATCATGGAAGCTCCCACAATCCGTGGCCTTCTGGGAACTTCCATGAGGGAGCTTCCCTCAATTCGAAACCGGTGAGAGGCCAGGAGCACTATTCTCGCTGGTGCGAAAAGAGAATGACCCTTCTGGGTGTTGGGCATGAACCGTTCAGGGATTCCCTTAAAGGCAATAGGACGAATGGTTTTCTTGAACTCATTTCAACTCATTCCCTGCCTCTCGGGATTCCCTTCAAAGGAAATAAGATGGATGGTCCTTTGCGGGGTATTCCCCTCTCGACCCAAGACCATTAACCGGAACAGAAATCCCTTGAAGGAAACGAGAGGATGGATGGTGTTTTGCCTTGGGGTCATTCCAACTCATTCCCTGCCTCTCCCTTTAAAGGAAATAGGCTGGATGGTCCTTTGCTGGGTATTCCCCTCTCGACCCAAGACCACTAACCGGAACAGAATCCCTTAAAGGAAACCATAGGATGGTTTTTTTCTCCTTGGGGTCATTTCAACTCATTCCCTGCCTCTCCCTTGAAAGGAAATAGGATGGATGGTCCTTTGCGGGGTATTCCCCTCTCGACCCAAGACCACTAACCGGAACAGAATCCCTTAAAGGAAACCATAGGATGGATGTTTTTTTCCTTGGGGTCATTTCAACTCATTCCCTGCCTCTCCCTTTAAAGGAAATAGGCTGGATGGTCCTTTGCTGGGTATTCCCCTCTCGACCCAAGACCACTAACCGGAACAGAATCCCTTAAAGGAAACCATAGGATGGTTTTTTTCTCCTTGGGGTCATTTCAACTCATTCCCTGCCTCTCCCTTGAAAGGAAATAGGATGGATGGTCCTTTGCGGGGTATTCCCCTCTCGACCCAAGACCACTAACCGGAACAGAATCCCTTAAAGGAAACCATAGGATGGATGTTTTTTTCCTTGGGGTCATTTCAACTCATTCCCTGCCTCTCCGTTTGAAGGAAATAGGATGGATGGTCCTTTGCGGGGCATTCCCCTCTCCTTGCCTGGAATTAGGACCCCAGCCAATAATGATACTTTTGGCCTGGTAGTGGAAAACAAACAAAACCAAAAAAAACCTAGAAGAATAAACAGGGGAACCAATCCTGGGGAAGGAAATAGCCTAACCTATTGGGACCATGAAAAAAATATGGACCAAAATGGGAAACCCAAAAGGTCATGTCAGGTCGATTCGCTTTGTGAAGGAAAGAGAAATGGTCTTCCTTACCCCTTAAAACTCCAAGCCCTGGGGAAGTTTTCATCTTTTACAGACATATAGCCCATGTTACCCCCAAAAAGTTACGAAAAGCTTCGTGTTTTTAAGAGGTAAGCTTCCCCTCCCGACCCCTCTCGATTTCCCATCCCTCGCATCCGAGGAGCGGCTTCCGGCACCAGGCCCTCCGAGGGCGCCAGCGTGAAGCGCAGCCCTGCGCCGGCCCAAGCTTTCAACGCGCGAAACGGCGAGAAAACGAACCCCGCGTGGCTCCAAGGCCCGCAAAGGTTTTTTGTTTTTTATCCTTTTCACCGGGGTGTCCCTGTGTTGGTGTCACTATTTTTGAATGATTTTTATTTGTTTTGTTTTTGTTTTGATGCCTGTTTCACATTTTCGATTTTTTTTGGGTGCCTGTTTTGCTTTGATTTTTATTTGTCCGTGTTTCACTTCCGGCGTGTCAGATCCGAGCCGCGCAAAAGAAGCAGACCCAAGGCGAAAGTCCGACAGGGAGCGAGCCACTGAAAATGGTCAACTCGAAAAGGCTGCCCAAATGTTGAAATGCCATTAGGCAACTGGGATGTGGCTTCCCTTCAGGGTGGTGTGTCCAACAATATTGAAGGAAATCATGGGGATCCATCAATCTTGCGGCAAACCAACCACGTCTAAATGCAAGACTGGGTCGATGAAGCGACATCCTCAAATTACCCGAGTCAAAGGGTGGCTTAATGCAAACCACCGGGACGTGAACATGCAACCATTGTCAGCCCAAGTGAAATGGGGCCACGCCCAAAACGAACTTCGGAAATCCGAGGACCATACTGACCAAAGGCCGCATAAGGTGGGGGATCGAGTTTTCTCCTAGAGAAGGGGGCTGTGCGCTTCTCGTTTCATGGGATGTCAACAAGGAAAGCCGTATTGTGGGGGTGCCCTACTCAAAAACCTGATTAGTTAGGGGTGGCGTGGATCGAGGCACAAATCCGGCAGCCAATTCAAGGTCCAAACGAATCATGATAGCGACCATCGCACCTTGCATAATCTAACTGATTGACAAACTGAAGCAATTTAATGGCATTGCCGTCTTTCCGCATAAGCGTGGGTAGCTCGGGATTGGAAGAGGCTTTTTAGGGTTGCCATATAGCTTTAAAGGGTTTCAAACCCCTGGTCGCAAGCCAATCCCAACCACCCACATCAGGCTTTTCGGCCCCCGATTTTGACTAAAAACAGTTACCTCCTGGCGCACGGAAGTCCCATTGTCCACTTCGCGTTCCCTTCACTTCCGACATCCAACGACTCCAATCGGCCAAACAACACTTCCCGAATGGATTGCCCAACAAAAAGTCGCAACCTAGACCGCCCACGACCCTAGAAAAAGGTGTCATGCCCCCCTAATTTTGCGCAATGACCCCTTTTCCTAGGGGCCATGGGGGCTCCAGGAGAAGTTATTTTCTTCCCACAAAGCTGTCGGAAGTCCATGGCCCCAGAAGCTTCCGCGTCTTCCGCGTCTTGCGCCTTCGGGTAGATGGCAGCTGCCGGTGGCGTATTCCAACAAGGCGTTCTGCTGCTCCGAAGTCATGGCCTGCCGGGTGCCACTCTTTGGCTGGGGCTTTGGGGGGTGACTTGGTCAACAACCTCAGCCTAGGATCTATATATCTTTTCTTTGCTCATCATTTAGTCAAGGGCAAAGATGTGAGATGGTCCCAAACGTTGATGCAGGTTAGGGGTCTGCACATGCTGAGAGAAACGATTCCGCGGAGCTACCGCGTTTGGAGGTCCAAGTAAAAAAATGTGAAAGACTTGGGCAAGGAACCCAAGGACTGCTTCTAGTCCTTTCTCAAGATGAGTTCCCGACAACGACCCCGCTGCAAAAGAAGGCTCGACTTGTTGTGGGTCCAATTTGGAAAATCCATCAAGTGGCAACCAACAAGTCAAAGTCCTAACAAGCTAGAAAGGGCTTTGTAGCGAAACAAGCGAAAAACTTCGGGAGGGCCACACGGCCCTCTCAAAAGAGGGTCGCTTAGTTGATCACGGACTCGGGTTGCACTGGGGCTTGCCACTTCTGACTGAGGGGTCAGTTGAAGACTATCAGGGTTGTGGGAAATGACCACTTCTGTGATACAACAAAAAGGGCTTCCCAAAGACTAACACCCCATATAAAGGGGGAGATTCCCTTGTATCACAGAAGTGGGAATAAACCCCTTGATTCCACAACCCTGACTATTCTTCCTCAAACGGGACCCTCTCAGTTCCATGTTGGTGGACTGAAAGATATTCAAAACCTAGCCATGTAAAAAATCGAGCCACGCGCAAATGCGCACCTCTGAATTGATTGGTGCTGTCTCTGCTTAACCATAATGGGACACCCCCTCATTTTCTACAGCTCTTCATTCCCGGGCGAGCCCACCTTTGGCCCCCCGCAACTTTAAAATTGCTTTGTACATTTTGTGCCTCGACACTGAGAGAAACGCCTTCCGCGTTCTCACCTTTCGCTCGAGCGCAAACGAATCACAGAATGAGAATACGTGAAATGGCTTGCTTCTGAAGCTCCGGTGCATTTGCTTCTGTTAGACTGCTATTGTCACCTAGGTCCTCCGGTAGAGAGGTTAGAATAAGGATGCATAAGGGTACTAACCTTTTTCTGTAGTCTATTTTAGTAGGGGAACCCTCCCAACCAAAAAAGAAACACCTAGCTAGGGGACCTAGTTTATCTGATTCACGGCGTCGATTTGGGGAATAGCAATCACTTTTCTTCTGTTTGATTTCGTGACAACCTTCTATTTCAACAGGGAAAGACATATTTTTTCTGATTCACGGCGTCGACTTTGCTTCTCCCTTGGGCCGCTTCTTCCCCCCGCGCTTCGGACGCTGCGAGCTTCGCAGGGCCTCCACGGCGCGCCAGAAGGTCTCCCAGATCTCCGGGGAGGTGCCCGGCGCAGTGCGGCTGCTCGCCTGCGGTCTCAAGAGCTCAGGGGAAATGGAACCCAAGCAACCCAAGGCGGGGGGGGTAAAAAATAACGTGGGGGCGGGTGTTCTTTGTGTTTGTTTTGTTTGTTTTGATTGTTTTGTGTTGTTGTTTTTGAAAAGACGTTAGGAAGAGTGTTTGGGGTGTGTGATGTGTGTTTGTTGACTTGAAAAATTGTTTGTTGTTTTCTTTGCTGAGGAAGTCATCGTAAGAGTAAACCTATAGCACTTATTTAAGCCCCGGTGACCCTGGGGCTTGGAACCCTGTAGCTTGCTGGCCATCCATTGGTTAGTTGCTCCTGCTCGTGGTGCATGTTTGGAGGTTGATGTGGAGGGATTCAAGCCAGCGAGCATCTGACATAGATGGCCTTTTGGAAACATAGATGGGTTTCCAACTGGTAAATGGGGCACCAAACCCATCTAAACCAGTGGAACCCATCTATCTTTGACCAGGCTCATCTAAAAAGGACGTGGCATCTGAAATGCTGGTCATGCTGGAATTCACCTTGCGCCCTAGGGGTCAACAGTCAAATCCTAAGCCCTCTGACAACTCTTTGGCTCCCTGGGTTCCTTACAGGGATCCGGATGCATTATACACCGATCGAACATTGCAACTTGTTTTTTCTGGTGGTTTCCGACTTGATTTTGGTGTTGAAAAAAGCAACATGTTTCAAATGGGGCAAGCAACATGATTTTCTCTTTTAAGGAGCCCTGTTCAAGCAGCAAACCCCTAGCTTCAGCACACCCAGCTTGTCCAGCATGTCTATAATTATAAAGCTTCCCGAGGACGCAGGCATTGGCAACGCTTCATAATTAAGAAAATGGTCGTGTGGACCATTTTCTAAATGTGGGGCGATCTGGGTTGACTAGCCGGAAGCAGTGTGAATCGTTGCGGGCCTTGGCGAACTTTACGAAGGACCAAAGCCAGAAGTTTGGTGCAACTGGAGTAGCAAGGTGAACCAGCCGGACCCTTCTCTGCTTCACTGTGCGGCTAAGCATGGAGACAATCGGTCAAGGCTTGAGTTTTCAAATGGCACCACTTCCGAACGAGTGGATGGCACAAACGAAGATTCCAGAGTGTGTGTTTTTTTGGCCATGGTCCAAACCCCCAAAAGTGATTCTCTCAAGTCACGAAAAAAAAACAGAAAACTCAATAATTAGCCAAACAGAAACCCCAGTGCCCATCGTTACGTTCTCACAAGGAACCTACGGGCCCCTTGAAGGACCGGATCTAAATTGCCATGCCAGCACGTCCTTTCGGCGCTTCCATTTGCGTTACTTGGAAAAATGAAACAAATTAGTGAAAGATTCCCTTCAAAACCAACGGGGGAGAATGCAACATAATATTGAAGAAATGGAAGATGGCCATGCGTCACTTGGGCATTCCCGAGGTTTGTCCAGGTGTGTGGCCTAGGGAAGTGTGTGATACCAGTTGTGACACAATGGGTGATGTTTTTGTTGGGCTTGCCCATTTGTTGTACACCTTCCACCAATGATCTTGCAACCTGACAGGGTCTTGCTAGGGCAAGTCATTTCAGTGAAGCCAAATTTCAGTGAAGCCAAAACCAGATCCGGGAGAGAAGGGAGCGGGTCCGGGATTCCCCGATACGAATCTGGGTTCTCCCTTGGCGCCTTCCACTCCTCGACGTTCAGCTCATTGACGCCGCAAAGCAGGAGACCCAGCTCAGTGGGCGACAGCACGCCTGGGTGTCAACTGTGGGGGTTTCATTTGGGTTTTGGGTTTCATTGGTGTCGATCTGAAAAGCCTCCATTTGCTTGAGCCCCCTGGAAAAATAGAATATCTTAACCAAATGGAAGCTTGGCTTCCCTTCAAGCCGATCTGAAAAGGGTACGCTGAAAGGAAACAAGAGTCATATATACCTCGCATGACAGAATCACAGGCCCATCTTCATCGTTGCCCAACTTGCTGCATCAGCAAGGCTGGCAATGGTAGCGGGCCCTGCCGCGAAACAAACAACCCACAAACCCAAAAACTGGGACACACACACACACACACACGCACACACGCACACACGCACACACGCACACACGCACACACGCACACACGCACACACGCACAGACGCACACACACGCACACACGCACACACGCACACACGCACACGCACACGCACACACGCACACACGCACACACACCCACACCCACACCCACACCCACACCCACACCCACACCCACACCCACACCCACACCCACACCCACACCCACACCCACACCCACACCCACACCCACACCCACACCCACACCCACACCCACACCCACACCCACACCCACACCCACACCCACACCCACACCCACACCCACACCCACACCCACACCCACACCCACACCCACACCCACACCCACACCCACACGCCCGCCCGCCCGCCCGCCCGCCCGCCCGCACGCACGCACGCACGCACGCACCGTGTGTTGGCATCCCTCACCGCACTCTGTTTGAGTGATGTCAACAAGCCAGTCTTTCTACTTCGCGGAACCTCACTTGCACATGCCTCCAGCTCTCAGAAGCTTGTTGGATTCAATCGCCTCAACTTGGAACAAACGTGTCAACTCTTGCAAAAATTACCCGATTGGAAAAGAGTGGGGACTCTTGCCTTCAAATTCAATCACTAATTACACGTTGAGATGGCGCTAATGATCCTTGGCTACATGTAGAAAGGTCAACTGCCGACATTGCTTCGGGACCCACTTCGGGGTGCTATAGCTATATAGCTATAGGGGTCCTGGTTTCCAATTGCGCCCTAAGGTCGATTTTAGGTGGCTTCGGCAAGGACAACCATCAGTTTGGGGGTTCCCCCGCAGTTAAAAAAAATAATACCCCTTTCAAGGGTGGAGTCCACTGAGGGCTTCTGGTGGCATACGGGCTCTGGAAGGCCCAGGGAAACTAGATAACCCTAAAATGCGCAACAACTTGTGATGTTTAAAACCACAAGGTGATGTTAAAACCCACCCTTAAACGCCCTTAAAAGCGACACGTTTGCCATGTGGGCGGTTGCCCCCTGCACACATAGCCAGCAAGTTGCATAATAATTACACCTTTCCCAAAGCTCGCGGCGAAAGATCGACTCCACCAGCTGGAACAAACAAATACGGGTCTCCTGTTGAGGGGGCCTGCGCGCAAAATACTGTTCCAGGAGCTGGCCTCCTACCCAACCTCCACGACTCTTGGCATGGTAGCAACAAAAATATGTTTTGCGCCCTAGTAAACATGAACATAACCAACGAACACCCAAACAAACAAACAAACAAATAAACACCCAAAACCACCGAAACCAAAGAAACCAACTTTCCAAGACCTGTGAAGTTCAACCGCAGCCCTCCGATCCGACATATCCGACGCGTTAAAGCGAGGCGCGCTGCAGGCGCTCCTGCACTTCCGCCGGGACCAGAGCTGCCATGCCCCGCTCCAGTGCGGCCACCTGAGTCACTTGCTCAAAACCTGGTAGTAAAATGGTGGGTGGGGTAGGTGGGGTGGGTGGGGTGGGTGGGGTGGGTGGGGTGGGTGGGTCGGTGGGAATGGTCTACCCAGAGCCATGTAAAGAATTAAGAAGGCGGATATCCGCAGCTTTTTTCTGGCTGGGACTGCCCCATAACCTTCGTCTACCCGGGTTTTGATTGTGGCTCACCTGCAGATATTTTCCTCGTCATTCTCAAAACCCGGTCTGAAAAATGGTGGGTGGGGTAGGTGGGGTGGGTGGGGTGGGTGAAGTGGGTGGGGTGGGTGGAGTGGGTGGGGCCCGGAACCATGTAAAGAATTAAAAAGCCTTTTTGTGAGTTCCCAAACCGTTTGGCCATTGCCAGTTTTTAACACCCCGCTTGCAGTCCCAAGTTCGCTTCTCCTTCCAGGTGATGATGAGGGAAGGTCAAAACCCAGTCTGAAAAATGGTCGACCCAGAACAATGTAAACTAAGAAGGCGGTCGCAGCGATTTATGATCCGGAGTGTCCCTTGCTAACCTTCTCGAGTTTTGACTGTGGCTCTCAGGTTGCCAACCTGCAGCCTTTGCGCAAGACCATAAGCCCCTGGGTGCATTTTGGGCTTGCCAGTTGTGAGACCCCTGTTCCCCAAGAATACAAGTGATAAAATGGTTGGTTTCCTATTGTTTCCCTTTTGACCAATCTCTAAAGAGTAGCGACGCTGCCATTCAAAACTGCTCTACGATCATTTTAGTCAAGGCCTTGAGATGCAGAATGGTAGCAACTGTTGTCCCCCCGCGCAGCATCCCGCATGGGATGGGGGACATTCTACGTCGGCTTCGTAGGGGTGCTAGTTTGATAGGACCGTTCTTTGTGCCGGGGCCGAGGTTCATTCCCAAACCCACCATTGTCTCCGTACTGAAGAGCAACACAACTCGCTTCAGTTTGAGCCAAAAGCGGGGGTAGAGGAGAACTGTGAGGGGAGTTGCCCTTCAACTCACTTCCTGAGTGGATTGGCGCAAAAGTAGCAATACCGTTTCTTTTCCACTAAAATGGTTCAAACCCGAAAAGTGACTAAAGACCATGAACTCAGGCAGTGAGCTAGTCAAGCAGGGTGCATTTTTCCCAGGTCTTTCTTTTTTCACCCAAACGGGTAAGAGGCAAACCTGGTTCACGGGGCGGAGCTTTGATTTAATCTGCCCAGAAAGACATGGAACTTAGAGGTCTTCCAGCGGTCGCCCTTCCCCACCGACTTCTCATATCAAAGCCACCGGGATCCTGGATCGCCTCCCTTCCGGGATCCCAACGCGTACAAGTCTAGGGGGTGATGCCCCATTCTTCTCAGCCCTCGTCCTTTCCGAAAACCAGATCCATTTCCCCAGGGCTTTTTGGTGGTTTTCTAGAAAGGAAATGGATCCCTGGAGAGAACGGACATGGACGTTACCCCTAGAAGGCGTTCGAAGCCAGCTCTTGCCGAGCAGCTTGCGGCTGCACGGAATCCAGCAAGCGATGATGGCACAGCAGATCCTCAGCAAGGCGGTTTTTTTTCAAGGCAGTTTGGGCAGAACCACTGGGCTCCCTCGAGTTCTCTTGACATCCCAAACGGAAACTCACTGGCAACAAGTGATGTTCAACACAAATCCAAAAGGTTTGTATAGGGAACCCGGAATCAGCCCAGTTTGGATTTGGAGTTCGGCCAAGGTGGTTCTACTTGGGGGTACTTGGTTCTACCGTTCATCTGGGTGCTCCCATGTCGAGACGCACAAGTATTTGCAAAATTGGCCTGACCAACCAAACAGTCCCTGGTTTTCAGCAAATAAAGGCCATAAGTTCAAGCAGTGGCTCGAGAAAACACAGTTGGCCCAATCCTGCTTCAAGGACCTTCACCCTTTCTCTTAAGAATGCGACTGGGCCCCTGTACGTGTTGGGCTAATTTGCCATGAGGCTTATTTTCGCGTGATGTTCAGTTCGGCCAGGAAAGGTCTGATAAAGCCATCACCCCAAATGCATGTTTCTGAAAATGGGCCCCTATTGGCTAGTGTTTGAAGAAAAAACCCACGTAAATCATTAGACAAAAAAGGGCCACAGCTCCGAATGTGCGCGGCGTTCCCTTTGGTTGCCACGCATCAACAAAATGCCAACATTCCAACATTAAGCATCACGCTACGCTTTGTTTTTTGGCGCAGCTAGGACGCCCGCTTGCTGTGAAGCAGCGGCTTCGAGCCACGAAGAAAACACAAGCACGAGATCCAAAGGTTGATGGCACAAACAGGGCTTTTACTAAGCTAGCTGGGTTGTGCGGCGGCCTTACAGGAACTAAAGGAACCACAGCACAAGCTAAACCACATCAGCTTGTGCCAAAATGGCAAGAACACGTTTTTCTACCCAGTCGAAAAGCAAACGCAACGTAGAAGGCCCTTTGACATTTGTTTGTCGCTGCTGATGTTCGGGCAGCACATGACGCTGTCATACCATGTATATTTGGAGCTACGCAAGCCCAAACGTTCCGGCCTCATCGACAGGGGCCACATCACGTTCCAAAAAGCAAAAGCAATGAATCTATACTCACTTGTTCAAAGCCCTTGAACATACCCCCTACTCCAAATACCCCCTTTTTTATTGTATTTTGAAAACCCAGGTTTTTCAAAAAATACCCTGAACAAGTGGGTATTTGAGTAGGGGGTAAGCGCCACGACTTCAATCCCAAACGTCAAAAGGGTCGGCTGTGGGCAACTGAGTCCAACGTGTACATGCAGGAGTGGTGCCAAAAAAATGAACATGGGCCCTGTCGTGAGCAGGGAACATGTGCCGAATCATGTGGAGGGTGCCACCTGGGTTGACCTTTTGGTCCAAGATAACTAGGACCACCTGCGAGTTGAGTTGAGCTTTCTGACAGCTACTAAGGAACCAGTCAAAGGTTCCTGCTAGAGGATCAACCCGCAAAAAAAAGGAGGTGCTGATTCACAAAAGGCCCACCTCTGCGTCTTAAAACTGACACCACAAAGTTTACTGGTGTCCATGTGGTTTTTCCTTTCAAGCAACACCTAAAAAGGGTACCGATTCACCAAGAGACCGGGTGTTGCTGGGGATGTGACTTTAACATGCAAATTGCTACAAAACACTGTGCAGCGCTAAAACTACATTGCAGGGAGCCCTTCTGTTCACCAATGGCTTCCTTTCTGGTCCCCTGCTAAAATTTATGTTTTAGTGGTTTAAGGGAAAACCCATTAGTTGGCAAAAAAGGTAAAGTCCTAACATCCCTGGGCAAAATGCACCAAAGAAAATTGGTCCCGATTCACCAAAGGCTTCCTCCGAAACCCGCGCCAGACCGGAGATCGGGGCGCCAGGTACTGCATCTTGTTCTCCTCCGTGACTGGGCGCTCCGCGCCCCCCATGCACAGCTCCAGCTTCTGTCCGGCCTCTGCCTCCTGAGTCTGGGGATGAATCCGCTGAATCCGCGCGCCAGGAACGCCAGGAAGGCAAGCATCTAGACTAAGTCGTCCAGATTTGAGAGGTTGCAACTTTTTGCGGGGAAAAATGGGTACCTAAACCCTCAGCATTCCCTTAAAAGTGGGGTTTACCCCCAAAATTATGGGGTGATATCCAATTTTTATGGGTATTTGAGGGTCCAGGTAGTCCTCCAATTATGGCTACTTTGTTTTTAGGTCCTGCGGTACTTAGTCTATTTTAGTAGGGGATCAAAAAAAGGGGTGAGAAAGGGCACTGCTGAGGGACCTTGTAGAGGTTTCTCATGGGGAGGCCCCTTTTGGATGATTCGAAACAGAAACCAGAAGGAAACCAAGCACCTGAAGGGGCAGCGAATCTCCAGAAAATACACGGGAGTCAAGCTAGACAATATCCTGCGACTCAAGGAGCCTACGCTACCCACGAACCAATTTTTTGTGGACCGCACTTTTGCCCGTACTGCCCTATGGCGGCTGCTTCTGTTTCAGAATGTTGAACACGCCTCTGTGTTGTTCTGTCTTGACCCCCTCGTCTCACATTTTCCTGACTGATGTGTAGAGAAACAGTTTAGAGGTTGATCCTTGACGCTCACCTGTTCGTTTCATAAAGTAGATCCAAGCGGCGTCGACGAAGTACAAGCCCAAGTCTGCGAGCTGCTTTGGCTCCTCTTCCTGCCAAAGGCAAGCCACATGGAATCCATCATTGAAAAGGAAAGGCGGAACAATATGCCTGCCGCAACGGGTCAGAACTCTCTGTGCGGATGTATAGACAAGCATCGCTGATTCACCTGGGCAAGTTCCTATAGTTCACAAGTACAGGACATTCCTCACAGGTGACCTCGTTTTACCCAAGAGCGAGCTCGTTTTGACTTCCGAAATGCAATTTCTTCGCGGCTGTTCCTTGGTGGCTCATCCGCTGGGACCCAAGCAAGAGGACATCAGGAAAATGCATCTCATGGACCCGGGCCTGCTGGTACTGGCTCTCAAGCAAATAGAGAACCTCAGGTCAGGCATCAACCACTTCCTGTCGTGCCTATCCTTTTCTGCTCGACAAGAATGGCCTGCATCAAACACATCATGACAAAAGCTGCACCACTAACCCAACTGTCTTGCAGTAAGCAGTCACTTTGTCATCACAGGCGTTGCGCAATGCTTCCCTTTGAAGAAGTCACTCATCGGCTACTTTGCGCCCAGGTGTGTCTCACAATGTGGGACCCTAAGAAGTAATTGTTTCCTAGTGGTTTCCCTTGACCATCTAAAAGATGTGTGTTTACCTTTCACCCAACATGTCGACCACCAAAAACCAGGTGCAAGCGCACGCCCCTCACAACCGTTTCGCTGCGGCGCTCGCTTCTGGTAGAACTCTGGGTCCACCGAGGCAATATCCTGGCAAGGTGACAGAAGCATGCAGAGACATTAATGGTTGGAACCTCTTGTGATTAGAGATAGGCCAAGTTCCGGGATGGATACTGCAGTTGTTGTTTCACTTTGATCGAGCCACTGGACAAATGAAAATGTATCCTAAGTCTACCCAAGGACATGCTCACGGATTTGTTGACATGAGGTTTGGTCAACGTGGAGGTTCCTAACAAGAAGCATGGGCCACATGAGAAGTTTTGATGATGGATTGCACATGTGAAAAGTACACATACCGATCTCCCCAGTTGAGCAGGCTACCCGAAGGAATCCAGTGCGCTTCTGCAAATTCTGGGTGTTCGAAATGCCTACCAACAATTGTTCATCCACTTTTCTTTTTGTCCGCTTGGGAAACTTATAAATGGCTATTTAACTCGCACCCAGAATTAGCATGGACACAAGACCTTCATTAAAAAGAGCTTCCTCTGAGGCTTGTCTTTCTTTATGAGTCCCAGGCTCTGCGGAAAGCACCGGTTCAACGTCAAGCAAACACCGGAAAGCATACCCTCCTCAAACTCCGGACTGATACCAAACTGGGCTGTCTAACTTCCTGATTTGACAAGTGAGCCGCTCAAGATGCAGCGTTGGCCAATCCGAGTTTCCATAATGCAAATACAAAGGGGAACCCTTGGGGAAGCCCAAGATAAGGATTAAGGCTTGCCTTTGAACAGCCCGGCCAAAGGCTGACGACGGGTACATGGGATGGCAAGTTTACATATTAGAGGAGCAATTTAGTAAACACTGGTATTTACAGTGCTTGTAGGCCTGAGGTAGGCGGTACTTCTCCTGATGTTGAAGTATCCTTGAGGCATCAAATCCGGTGCCACTCAATCCAATAACGCGGCTTTCGGACCAAATCAGTATGTACACGAATGGTACAGGTTGACAGCAAAGCGAACATGGTGAAAGGTGGGATGCTGTCTCCTAAGGGAGAGCAGGAATCTTCGCACCAAGCAAATATCTAAGACTAACCGCATGAGTTCCTACAGAAGCATTGCAGCACCTGTTCGAGTTTTCTGGCACCTGTACTAGAATTTGCCAAAACCACCCACCCATCATTCAAGATGGTTCTACATTGCAGCGGCCAGATCTGAGCCCATTTCTCTGTCTCATATCTCTTCATATCTCCTCAGAATGAGGGGCACTCAATAGAGTATCCTTTCCGCACTTCCAGCTTCTAACTTTTCGGCCTTCTTCAGCTAGCATGTCGTTGAGCATGACTGTTGCATTGACTTCGGCGGCTTGCAGGGCGCGTTTTTGCCTTTTTTTTTTAAATTCCCCCTTGTTTCTTGTTTATCTCTCTTGTTTTGTTGGTGCTCTCTTCATCTTGTTACCCAGTTTTTTTGGTCGGCGCTCTTCATTCCCCAACAGCTGAAAGCTTTGGGGTCTCAGCCCAGATAGGCTCCGGGGTGGTCTGGGGGCGGCCCCAAGGTAAGGTTCCACAAATGTTCCACCAGGGTTCCACCAGGGTTCCACTAGGGTTCCACCAGAGTTGTACAAGGTTCTGCGAGGGTGCGAGCATTAAAAAGAGCACCGCAAGCTGCTGGGGATATCACCTGAGCTTATCTTGTTGGGAACCCCAACAGCCCCAGCCCTTCGAATTCTAAGGCAAGCCGTGGGCTTAGGCCCTCCCAACTCGACGGCTTCGGGCTTCCGGCTCGCTGGGAACCGGTGATTGGGCGCTTTGGGTCTCCCAACATGTGGAAACCTGGCAATCCTCATTGATCTGATGTGCAAACCTGGCAAGATTTTATTGGTCTGGAAGCTTTACGACTCCAAAACCTGACAAATGATTATATCACGCAAAGGACCTCTCTCATGGCTGGTTATAGCCCCAGAGCTCGCCATCAAATAGGCGGACGTTTTTATGTTTCGGCCCAGCTGCCCAAAGTCCCAAAGGCACGCTTTTGACTGGCACTCTTTGGGGCAGTCCATAGATCTTGGCTGGAAAAATCGGACCCCTGCAAAAATATTTCTTGCTTGGTTAGAGAACAAAGGGACCCCCAAAAAAAGCAAACAACCAAAAAAACAAACTAATTCTGGGGAAGAGATGAGACCTTCAAACTGCTTCTGAGTTCTCCTTACACCCCAAAAGGGTCGCCTCAAAAAACACGCCTGAGAGAGTCTCTCAAACTCTTGAAGACACCGGTTTGACAGGGAAGGTCCTCAGCCTGCGAAAAGTGTAAGCCACGCTGCACACCAAACCGAAAACGCCCAGGAACCGGACGATTTGCTGGGAACCGCCAAGAAAAGGACACCAAAACTTCTATTTGGTGAAGGCCAAATGGAAAAAATCGAAAAATATGTCCAGTAGTGATGAATTCCAATTCAAAGCCAACAAGAGAAAATAACAACTATTCCTAAGCAAATGGAGGAAGAAGCCGACGGCCTTCGCTTCGTTCGGACTTCCGGGCCGTGCCTCAGGCCGCAGAGGGGCCTTCAGCAGGCGCCGGCGCAAGGGCCGCGAGAGGCGCATGGGGACCTGGTCCTGGGCGGAGTGGGCTGCCCTCAGATCCCCTAAGTGCCACTGCACGCCAGGTCCCCTGGAACAACTAAAGCAAATGTCCAGTGATAGAACCCCGTCAAAACCAAGACAGGAAAACAAAACATACTCTTCCCTGCGCTGCCCTCAGATCCCCCGCTAAAAGTGACGAACTTTTGGTGGGTTAAATGGAAACTAAAAGGCTAAGCTAAGGAACCGGATGGCTAGCCACCTCACGTCCCATCGAACCGGAGGTTTGGCGCAGCTGGACCGTTCAGGGGTACTGGTGGTGCCTTCGCAAACAAAACGAAGAACGGATTCCTGGAGAATTCTGAGAACCAGCAAGAAATGCAGGCTCTAAACAAAAACCCTGGATGCAACGCATGCTGCAGGCAGGTGCTGTATCCCAAGGCTTCCTTCAAGTGGTGCCCGGGAGTTGGTGAATCGGAATTCGCGTCATTTTGGGCTGCATGCCTTCGAACAAGACCCAAAGGGAAACAAAGGAAGCCCAACCAAAACAACATGTTACCGCCCCCTAGCAACTTGGAGATACGGTGGATGCCAACTCCAGACTGCAAGTAAGGGAACATTCGGAAACCTCTAATCTACAGTAATTTACCGTGGTGTTGTGCTTTGTTTCGTATGTGTGATTTACATGTTTGCTTTCATGTGCTTTCCCCCCCCCGGAAACAAAAAAAAAGTCCATTAGTGAAATTGATTCCCCTTAAAACTGACAGGGGAAAATGAAACAATATGAAAACTGCAATTTGCCATAGTTGTGTGGTTCTTCGTATGTGTGGTTTACTATGCTTACTTGCAATTCTGAGGGCATCCGCAGAAAAGTCCACGAGCTTTGAACAAGTTCTTCCGCACTCCTGGTGCAGCAGCGCCAGGCCGATCAGCTTGCCACCTCAGGTCCGGGGATCCGGGGCAACGGATCCGGGGGAAGGAGTTGCCTGGTCAAATGGGTGGCGCGGTTCTCGAGAAAAAACAAGAATTTGGCTGCGGGGCAAAACCAATGGTACCATTTTGGTTGGTAGGTGAATTCACCACTCATTTTAGAACCTATTTTAGTGGTTGGATTGAATCGGATGTTCACCGGGGGCCAACCGATTTGGCTTTTGAAAAGCCCATGGCCATTTCTTGGTTCGCTTTAAAAGGAAACCACTCGGAACACCGCTTCATGCCAGACCAACAGGCTGGCCTGCAAGAGATGGCAAGAGGCTACACCTGGGCCTGGGACGCCAACAAACTTCAGGGAGAAGGGTCGTCCACTTCCCATCCAGCCCCTTTCATGCCACAATCAACCAGTTGACGGCAGTGGATCCCTCCACAATCTGTCAGGTGCATTGTTGTTTGGGAGGTACAAAAGAGAAACACAACAGACCTCACTTCCTGAGTGCATTGGCCAAAAAATGTCTGAACTTTTATTTCCAGCTACAGAAATGGTCCAAGCCCCAACAGAGTGACTAAAGTCCGATAAGAAACTTGGGAAACAAAAACACACACCGCATACCTGGACCCTGAAACTATAGCCATAAAAATGGGATATCACTCCATAAATTTCGGGTTCAAACCAATTTTGAAGGGAATTTTGAGGGTTCAGGTACACGAATAGTAAAAAAAAAAAAAACGCAGCTTTGTCGCAAAGGCACAAAGCTCCAGCTGGGCTAAGCGAGATTCATCACAGGGCAGCACGTGGAAGGAGCGGCCGCCTGCCAAAGCCGGTGCTGCAAATGAGAAAATGGAAGATGACGTTCATGCCCCGGGGGTTGGACACCAGGGATGCCCAGGGGTATGGACTTCCTTCCTTAGATTCAGGGGCAGGTTCAGAATGCAAGCGGCACCCCGTTGCTTTTTGTTGCCCAGTTGTGGCCCAATCTTCATCCATCATGTTTTGATGCTGGCGAAGTTCAGGGCCTGCCATTCAATCAAAGAGTTCCCGAGTTCCTTAAGGGTCAAGCCTTAGCTGTACCATGAAAAACCTACCTGGAGTCTCCATGACCCTTAAAACATGGGGCCATTACACATTTTTTTGGGGCATGACCCCTTTTTCTATAGGGGTCATGCAGCGAGGTGTGCAGCAAGTGCCGAGCCGCCATCTTTCGAGGCAAACAAGCCCAGCTCCGGCGACATGAACTCGGCCGCGGCCAAGCCTCGGGAAAGAGGCCGGCAGCATTAACTAGGTCCTCCAGTAGAGAGGTTAGAATAAGGGTACCAACTTTTTTATATATATGTAGTTTATTTTAGTAGGGGAACCCTCCCAACCAAAAAAGGGGAGAGAAGGGGCACTACTGGAACACCTAGGTAATAATGCTTCCACTGAACGGGGGTTGAGCTGGTTGCCTTGCGGCAAAACCAAATTTCCCGTGCTTCGGACAAACCTGCAGCATGGATTCCTGAAGGCGATGGACAAAACCTCCGGAGATTGCCAGCCTGGCAGCTGACAATCGCAAAGGTCCGTGTTGGATGCCAGACAACAACCCGAACCCTCAAACTTCCCTTGAACATTGGTTTTACCCACAAATTGTGGGGTGATATCCCAGTTTTATGGGTTTACGTTTCAGGGTCCAGGAAGGTCTCTGGATCCGTGGTTCCTTCCAGCTGGCCTTTGGGTGGACGCCTCTTGGGCTCAAAATCCGGCAAAACGCATGCCAGAAAGATCAACCAGGACCTGGTAGCTAGGCTGGAAAAATCGGACCCCAGCAAAACAAACACTTCCTTTTGCCTGGTTACTGGAAAACAAAGGGCACCCCAAAAAAGCAAAAAAGCAAAAAGGGGAGCTAATTCTGGGGAAGGCAGGAGCTGGAAGAATATCCCAAGCAGTCAGTCAGAAACACATCCCCACAAAAGTATCTAAATACTATGGGACTGGCGAAAGGGTAAGGTGGGCATGCACTTAAACCAATCACAGGCAACTTGCCAGGAAAAACAAGTAACACGTGCGGGATGCCGGTCTCCGGCTGTCAACCAGCAGCGATGCAAACCAGCCCTTTCCAAGCCAACCGGGAGCCCTTTCCTCGGAAAACGAGGGGGGCAGTCCAACACAAAAACAAAAAACACTCTCCATCTCTCTTGGGGAGGAACAGGTCCATCAAAAGCTTCGAACTGCGGCCGCCAATTGCCCGGCATCTGGGGATCAATCGTCAACAAGCATGTCGCAACGGCAAAGCAACAGTCCAAACTGCTTGACACTTATATCCCCACGACCTTTCTGTATAATCTGCCCCGTTGTTCAGCGGCACCCTCTAAATCCCTTCTCCTTCGCTCCAAACCTCAAAATGACTCACCTCCCCGGCCAAAATTGTGGGCTCTCAGTCCAATTCGGGGGGTGGCAAACCCAAAGGAACAGAACCCCAAAAGCCGCTTCGATCCTTCCGCTTGCTAATTTTCGCCCCCTGGAAAACATGTTTCAAACATAGGTGGCCTTTTGGAAACATAGGTGGCCTTTTTTCAAACATGTTTCCCTGGTAAATGGAAGAAACCCCCCCTAAACCAGTGCCATCTACTTTTAATCAAACTAACCTAAAAAGGACACCTATGGTTTCAAAACGTATAAGCCATTCTCTAATTGTTCACTTCAGCACACCACGGGTTTGGTGGTGCTTCCGAGCCGCGGAAGAACTCTTGGCGCTGGCAGCTGGGGCTTTCCTTGTCGTCCCCGCTCTCCTCCTCGTCCTCTGTGAAGCTCCTGAGTCGGGGTGCAGTTCCGCCCCACCAAAAGGAGTGTCTAAGAAGTTGAATGGGATGTGCAACCGCCATACAGCCACCGCAAGGAAGGTACATACCCGCTTTCGGCTGCAGTAGCGGTTTGGCAATGGAAAACGTTAGAGGCTGAAACAAAACCAGCCCTGAAGCCCAAATGTGGACAAGGGAAGTTGGGCGTTGGGATTCTACGCAGTCCAGGAGGCCGCAACACATCCAGGCAACCACCACAAACGAAATAGCCATTTCTACTCATGTCGCTTCTTTTCTCCCAATCCATTCAAAATTGGTTCTGAGGACCCTGGCAGTCTATGATCACAAGTTCTGCCCGTCCGCTTGCCTCGCCCTTTCCCGGCTTCCTGTAAAGTCAGAGGACCAGGCTGAGGGCGTGAGCCGTTTGGAGTACCCTTCTTGATGATGTGTTCTAGGGAAACCAAAAGGAAACCAAACATTTCCATGATTAGAGTTGGGCCCAGTTACTGTATATCATGTACATACTGGATTGGTTGCTTCACTTTGAGTCACTGGTAAAATGTAATAAAGGTATACCAAACATTTTCGGGTTCCAACACATTTTTGAGACCACTCCCCCCCTTGCTTCGGGCGCGGGTTCGTTCTGCCAAGTTACACATCGATGCCCCAGCGCAAGGAGTCGGTACATTCGATGAGGCCAGCGCAAAGACTTTCCTCGGGCCAAGCTTTGCGGGTTAGGTCCCTTGACAATCCATTCTGGGTTCTCCAGTAGACTTGGTTGACGTTGGGTGTGGGGAGCAACAATTCTCAAATTTTAGCAGTTAAGTGGATTTGGATTTCAACCACTCAACCATAATAAGCAAAAATGAAAAATGTTTCCCAACGACAACCAAGTAGAGCTTAGAATCAGGGTACCAACTTCTTTCTTTTTCCCCAACAGCTGAAAGCTTTGGAGTCTCAGCCCAGATAGGCTCCGGGGTGGTCCGGGGCGGCCCCAAGGTAAGGTTCCACAAATGTTCCACCAGGGTTCCACCAGGGTTCCACTAGGGTTCCACCAGAGTTGTACAAGGTTCCGCGAGGGTGCGAGCATTTAAAAGAGCACCGCAAGCTGTTGGGGATATGACCTGAGCTTATTTGTTGGCCCCCTCCCAACCAAAAAAGGGGCGACTAGCATTGGCTAATTCCCCAAACCTATGAGAAGTGGCAGTTCACTGGTGGGTTCCAACCCAAAAGTGCCACTTTGGGACAAGGGAAATTGAGGGACCTTTCAGGGAACTCCGGGGTGGCTCATTGATTCCCTTGACCTCTGAGAACCAGCAAGTTCTCACGACTTTTTCCTCCAAATCCCGTTTCGCCTCTTGGCGCCTCCGATGCACTTTGACCCCTCGACTCACCCAATATCTCGGCCTGAAGGGCAAAGAGGGCAAGACGAAACCCAACCAAAGGTTCTCTCGGAACTGAACAAATCACAAGTAGATGAACTGTTTGCCTTGTGTGCAACATCATATTCTGAGGTCGTTTGGCCCGAATGTGGGCGTGCCTTCTTTTGGTAGACAAATCTGAAATCAAATGTCCGGCCCCGCCAGTCTTGTCGTGTAGGCAGGGGCTGCCTTCATTTGATTAGAACTAGAGAACGTTCGTTCGTTTTTCACTCGCTCCCAAGTATACTCAAAACAAGGGGCTGCTATACACGAAACACCGAAGGCTCATCCAGCTAGAGTCCTGGCACCGCAAAATCGCACAAGAACTGCACCCTGAATTGGAACATGTTGGACCCACACTCTCAGCTAGTGTCCAGGCCCCTCAGCGGCAACGCGCCATGCTTTGGTTCGATAGCTTCGACTTGGCCGAAGCGCTTCGTTAACACGCCCCATGCCGGTCTCCATTTGTGTTTGTTCGCAGGCCTTATTCTAGTGCCACGTCATGGAGAACCAGCTTTTGCAACGAAGCCGACCCCATCAGCTCCAAGGGAACAAGGGAATACCTTGGTAGGTGAATCAGCTGGCATTGATGGGGCTCGAGATCCACCTGCCACTTTTACTATAAATTCCAAAACCGGAATTGAGGGATTTCCAAGGAACTGATATGTATCATGGTGAGCTCGGCTTTCTTTCTTGCTGTGTACCATGTCGCCTATGGGCAAAGTGGAAAAAAACCAAAAACAAAACATGCATGCTCAGGGTCACCACCTGCCAGTTAGGGTCCGCGGGGTTCGGCAAAATCAGGTACCAACGTACCCCCGGAGCTCGCCATGAATCACTTGACGTGGGAGGGTGAGCCAACAACAAAGCAAAACACAATTGGCATTTAAGTGGTTGCATTTCAACCACTAAACCACAATAAGCGAGAAAATGTAAGATGTTTCCGAACAACAACCATGTTGTAATGCAAAAAACCTCAGCCAAAAAAAAAGAAGAAGAAAGGGGTCAACGCTTTCAAGGTGAATTCTGGGCCTGCTGAAGTGATAGGCCATGGACTGTGGAAGGAAAAGCTAGGCAGATCTCTGGGAAAACTCGGTTGCAAACTCTGCTCCCCTGCTAAAAGTGAATAACTTTTAGTGGTTTAGCACGGAAAACCCCATAGTTGGCTCAAAAAGTTCTCAAGTCCCAACGGCCCTTGGCCAAAATTCGCGCCAAAGAAAAAGCCAGAAGCCAGGGCGCCAGCAGCTGCTCCCGCTGCACCTCCAGCTGCACCGGGTCCCTGGGGTTTGGGTCAGAGTTCACCTGACGGCTTCCTCAAAACTGGCAGGCTGACTGAGTTCTCAGGGCTGGAGCCTGGCAAATCTGAAAAGGCCGCAGAGGGAAAGACGATCAAGAACTTATCACTTCCCATTTGTTCATTCATCTTTTCCTAGCCCTTCCCATCACACAATTTCTGAGAGAAAAGCAGGGCTAGGATGATGACAAGGGTGATTAGGGCCCGGGATCTTATTACCTTCCAAAGCGTACAACCTCCTGACCAACAAAGAGTCCATCCAGCATGCACATTTGAGTGCAGGACGTCCAGTTTCTGTTTCAATCAGCCATCATCACACAACGGGCGGGTCAAAAATTACCCTCCCAATAGGCGGCTTCAATCAATCGATTCGCTCCGCTATTGCTTTTTGGCACCAAGAGGCCAAAAGAAGGGGCCACCATTCTTTGGACGTATGTCGCTTCACTGAATGCCAAGCGAGTAATGGACCCCCACAATGTTCTCTAACGAGGGTCCAGCTGACTGTTCCCCCCCCCATTTTTGTTTTTGGGTTGGGGGTGGGCGAGCACTGTGTACAGAGGGTCCAAGATTACCCATGACAGGAAAAAGCGAAACGGAAGCTTCAAGGTGACTAGCTTCAGGTTTCCAGGGCTTTACCCATATGAGCGTTGGTTTTTATTCCCTAACTTGCTTGGACATTATTCAAGCTTCTGCGGACCCTTCCGCATCATTGCCGCGGGCCAAGAGGTCCCTTCCGCGAACTTCTGCGGCATATGTGTTTCATTGTTTGCTTCCGCAAACCTTCCGCGGGGCATGGTTTACAAGAGTTGCTTTGGAAACCTCAACAGGTGTCCTCGCTTTTCCGCGCGTCTTCTTTGTCACCACTAGCCCCCCCCCCCCCGCCCCGCACAACCGCTCTATTTGCGATCCACCCTGGCAACTTAGAGGAGGACCCATTGTTAGAGGAGACTCCTTTGGTCCCTTTTCTTTCTCACTTCCTGCGTGGATCGGCCAGGAAAAGTCCATGAACCTGTTGTCTACTACGAAAAACTGGTCCAAACCCCAAAAAGTGACTACCTGGACCCTCAAACTACCCATAACAATGCAACATATGACCCACCATAGCTTTTCGGGGTCCCATTTTCAACTAAGTCCTCCAGTAGAGAGGTTGCAATAAGGGTACCATTTTTTCTGTGGTCTATTTTAGTAAGGGAACCCTCCCAACCAAAAAAGGGGTGAGAAAGGGCACTACTGGGGGACCCGTTTTCAAGTTGGAATTTGGAGAGGTACAGTTCTAGTGCTACCTTCCTCATACTTTTCAGGGATCCGAATCCTTCTAGAAAACCTCCGGACACCCAGGGAAACGAATCCGGTTTGGTAACCGAAAGAACGATGCTTGGACAAAATGGACAAGGACTCAACCCCTAGATCAACATCTGTGGCTGGCCTTTTCTTGCGGACCCCATCATTGGTAGTGTTCCCAACCAATTTCCCTGAACCCCAAACAAAGTGAAGCCCGATCTTTGGCGCGCACGGAACTCGGAGGTGAGCAACCCAGGGACCCAACCCCATTGGTAGAACGATGCTAAGAATCAACCATTACTCTTGGCATGGGCTTGCCAAAAACTGACTGCTTTTGGCAGACCAGTAAAAATGAACAGAACCAAAAAACTGAAGAAGAAAAAAATCATGCCAAGCACAGTGAAGGAAACATTGCTTTTGATGGATGACTTGCTTGGCGGTGCCCATGTCTTGGGCCGAGAACAGTGAAGCAACCCGGCATGGGGACTCAACCCGATTTGAGCAAAAGATTGCCTTTTCCCAGGAAATGTCCTTCACCACAAAGGCCATTTATTTAATGTACCTTGGAAGTCTGGGGAGAACGATGGTTGGAATCAACCCTTACACTCCGAGTTTTCCGCTCAGAGATCCGCCCCGGCCTTCAGCTGCTTGGCTGCGAAGTGCGCCTTGAAGCCCAGCGGCACCTGGAGACGGCACTCGAAAAAACGCGCAAGGGATTCTGTTTGATGGATTCTTTTTAATGGGTACCCGTGTTTGGCCGTTTTATGGGGGAAACCAAGAGGAGACGCCCATGTCTGTCTCTTTTCCTTTTGTGTGTGTGTGTTCTTTTGTATAATTATGTTGTTTTCGCTTTTTCTTTGAGGGGGGGAAGAGCCCCTTGTTGGGTTAAAATGGAAACCAAGAGGAACAACCCATGGATTTCATAATGGCATCAAAAGCCGAAAGCCGTCACTACGCCCACTCTGGCCACATCCAGCTCCGAAGACACTATACTGAGATGAAGTCACCCCACAACTAGATAGGCACCAAACCATGGGTTGAGCATATAAGGCGAGCGTCAACACACACTCAAGGTGATCTTGCTGGCGGTCCGTAGTAATTGGCACCGCCGGTGTTTCACACCTCGCATTTGGAGAGCATCGGCTGGTTGCCTTACGAAGCAAGAAGCTCCATCAGCTCTTACACCAACAACCAGTGTGCACTTTCCTCGTCTGCAGAATCCCCAGTTCAGGATCCTGGCGCAAATAAGTTCCCATCATGTCAGTTTGCACTCTGTTCGCCGGTTGAATACGTGCAAGGGGTACCAACCCGTACAGAAAGGACGCAAACAAGGGGATTGTACCAAGTTGATTTGTGCAGCGTCGACGTTGAGCTTGAACTTTTCGGGGAAAACAGTGTTTCCCGACACGCTCGCCAACAAGCCTGGCTTTTTGCGGGTGAAAGACCAATCCACCGGTCCGACGAGATGTTTTTCTTTCCGATGGGGGGGGGGGGGGATCCACCTTGCCATGCCCGGGGACCCATTGGCAAATGAGCTCAGTCAAGGCACCAGCTGGACGTACTGCGGCCACCATTGCAACTGCAACATCAGGCCTCAGCCGCAGCTCTCTGAGAAGCGAGGAAATGCTTGCAAGGCAAGACACAAAAGAAACGCCTTCAAAGGCAAGAACCTTTAGCTACCAAAGGACCCAGAAAAAACAATTATCACCTTTTGGGGGCACTAAACATGGGTGGCAACATGGGAAAGCCAAAAGGTCCTTTCAGGTCGATTCGCTCTAGTCGCAAGTTGATCACAGCCGAAACCGTCCTTCCCGCTCATGGGACTTGGGCCTATCCCCGTCGTTGATCTTGCTGGTGCGATAGTAGGGAAGGTCTTTCCGCGTCCGGGTGTTGGGAATGAACTGTTTCGAGGTGGATGGTTTTACTTTGGGTGCCATTTCTCATTCCCTGGCTCTCAAACTAGACAAATTCCCGAAAGGATCAAGAATTGCCCCCTTCAAACCTAGCCCCTTTACGGAAACCCGGTTTCAATGTGCTTGGTCTTTAAAGGCGATGTTGAAATCCAACCAACATGTGTGTGTGTGTGTGTGTCCCCTTGTACGTGAAAGGGGGACGAAAAAAAGACAGGCGCCGACAGCCCAGCGGCTCTCCATGTGTCGGCGCCCTTCCTCTAGGCCTCAGACACCGTATTCGGAAAGCCGAGTCGCCGGCGCGCGAAGAAAGGGAGCAAAAAGGACTCAGTTGCTCAGCGACCCTGGAGAAAAAAATGGGAACCCTTTTTGGGAAGACCGAATTTTCAGTGGGGCAGCCACCAAAAAAATGGGAAAATAATTGGTGCCACTGAACAACTGAGAGGATCAACTCGGAAACCGAAACCCAAGGATGCCTACAATAGAGCCAAACCAAGAAAACAAAGCATGGTTGAATCTCCAAGGTGTCCATGCTCCCTTGCAGAGTTGGCATCTTTGGTCGAAACGTGAGTTTCCCCGATCCCATGATCCCTCCAATGCAGAACCCCGGAACATCCAATGGAGAACCCGACCCCTTGAAGGGATCCTCTCCTGCTGGGTGGATGGACCACTTCAGACCACTTCAGTGACATCAATCCCAGGTAAATAATCAAGGGATGTATAAACCTGCAAACTGCCCGCAGGTCTATACATTCCTTGATTGGCACCAGGCAGAAGAGCACCCAAACAAAATCTACTGCCTGCAGCACGACAGCCCTATCTTGAGGGGGGGGGGAGGGTGGGGGGTCATTCAGATTCACTGATGCCTCCCTTCCTGAGGGGAACTATAACTAAGAGTGGGAGAAGCCTTGGCTGATTTCATCCGCGGCTGGCAGTCTTCTGTGATTTCTCATTTCAGGTTTGCCGTTCATGGTTTCCAACTTTGTTTGGGTGTTCAAAGAGCAACATGTTTCAAATGGGCAGGCAAAATTAATTTCTTTTAAGGAGCCCTGAATGAGATGGGCGATTTGCTTCTTTCTGTTCAGACCCCTGTTGGCCAGCCTCAAGGAACCCAACCGGAAGACTCAGAAAGGCCAGGCATCCCTTTGCCCGGATGGACTAAGGTGATTCTTGCTCCGTGGCTTGACCCAGAACGTCCCTTTGCGTGTTTTTGTTCCAGTAGAAATAGATTCCCTTAGAACCAGCAGAGAAGATAAGCAATATTCGTCGCCAAGTTTCGCGCAAGCGGCAGACACTTGCAAACACCAACCCGGTCCTGAGCCCCTTTCGCAGCCCAATCCAATTCTTAGAAGTGGTCATGCACAAGCAGTGTGTTGAGTACTTGGTGGCTGTTGCCCCCTGTGAGCGGGAAACACGCGCTTCCAAAAAAACAACACAGACACCCGCGCGATTCATCCCAGAGAGATGGGCCTGCGAGTTGGGTGTGGCATCTTCACAACCCTTGGTATGGTCGCAAAAGAATCGTTGTTTTTTGAAGCCCCCTACTAAAAATGAACAGAAGCAAAAAACTAAAAAAACAAAAAACATGCCAAGAACAGTGAAGGCATGGTTTGGCTGGGTTCACATGCCTCACATCACCCCAAAGGACCTTCGAAACTGGCAGCCAACACATGAGAAGCCTCTCGGTCCCAAGAAAAATCCAGAGGAGTCTTGGCTGCTGTTGACCGACCCCCCCTGCAAACAGTTGAGCACTTTCTTCGGTGGCTCAGTTCGGAAAACCCGATGGATTGCAACCGACAAGTTTTACAGCCTAAAGATCCAACCCAATCGCAGTCAAGGAATCACCCTTTTCCCAACCAAGGGTGAGAGGGCTTGGAAGACGACTGTCGTGGGCAAGCCCCAAGTTTGCCCTTTTGCATGACTCATGAGCCTATGTTCAAGTGTTGGTTTAAGTTGAAAGGCCAACCCTTCCAACCCGGTAATTGGTTTGGTTCAAATACACAAATGGCCATGGGCCCGGTGAACATCCCGATCCCCACCAAAATAGACGAAAATGAGTGTGAATTCACCTACCTCCAAAATGGATCCCATTGGTTTTGAGCCACAGCAGGGATCCTTACATTATACACCTGAACATTGCTTTGTAAATGGTAGTCTCCCTTGATTTTGGTGTTGAAACAGCAACGTGTTTCAAAAGGTGGCAACATGAATTTCTTTTAAGGAGCCCTGCACAGCCAAATGGGAAAACAGGGGCAAACCAGTCGCCTCTGATTTCACTTCCCCGTGGCAAGTTTGTTGCTGGGCCTCATTAGGCAATAATATGGAGTAACGGTTAGTGACTCGGACAGTATAAAACTGGCCGCACCACCAAAAGTCGGCGCCGGAACCGCCGGAACCGCCGTCCCGTGGTGAGCCTCAAAAACCTGCGGCTGTTGCTGGGCCTCGCGCTGCAAAGCTGCGGAACCAGGCGCGCCATGCTGTCCCCCGCGCCCAGCAAGGCCTCGAGGGAGCCAAGGAGCTGGGTGTATCCAAATTTGCTTCCAAACAGGGAGCCAAGGAGGTCTGCAAGTACATGGTAGTTGTGTTGTGCAGCTTTCCTTTTCCGCACGGCGAGATCATGGCCATATGCATGGAGGTCGGATCTCGTTGCGGGGGTGAGCGATGCTGGATCGAAACCCTGCCCTCGGCCGCCTCCCATCTTTCGAGGGGTTGATTCCCCATTCTTTCCAACCATGGTTCTTTTCATGAAAACCGGATCCGTTTCCATGGGTTTCCGGAGGTTTTCGAGAAAGAAGGATCCCTGGAAAGAATGGGGAAGGTAGCACCAGAATGATGCGTGCGTTCACTGCAACAAGCAGCTGGACCCTCAAACTACCCGTACAAATGGGATATCAGCCCCTCCTTTTGAGGGTTCAACCAACTTTTCGGGGAATTTTCAGGGTTCAGATGGAACTTGGGGCCTCAAAACATGTCCTTTTGACACCCCAGCAACTTGGGGTGTGGTACGCTTGGTTAGCAGAGGGTTGACATGAAAAAACCGGCAAGTGGAGAAGGGGGTGTTGATTATTCACACGTGTTTTTGCTTTAGATACCAAAATTATGGTTTTTTGGTTTTTATCTTTGATGGAATCACACAAGACCATCGAAGATCCCATCTTAGGTTTCGCACCGTGCTTCACCCGTACCACTGGCCAGGCTCCGTTTAGACTTGCGAAACAGCCACACGGGACCAGAAGCCCCGCGACCTGCTCAGAAGGGTGGAAAAGGGGAGGGAGTACAAGATCTGCTGACGAGTTTTCTCCCAGAGGACCCTTCATGTTGCACCCCACCCGTTGTCTTCGGGGGTGATTTTTAAGGGGAGCCTGGTGATTTCCCCAATCCACAGCTTTCCAACCGCTTCACTCCAGCAACCCCAGGCGCCGGCACTGGACTGGACCCTGGGTTACTCTGGGCGCCCAAACGCCCGGCGTCAGAAGCGCCAAGGTCTCCGTGAAGAGTTGGAGGCTCAAGTCTTGTAGAGCCGCGGTGCCCAGGAGCTGGCCTCTGGTTTTTGGAAGCCAGCTAAGCCCGGCTTGAAAGAAGGCTAAAGATGTTGCAGGACTAAACATGGAATTGACCTTTCCAAGGGGGAATTCAAACAGTGATTGTAAGGAATCCCAGATCCAAAACCCCCCCTCCCAACCCTTCCTTCGTCGTACAAAAAAGGCGTGGGTATGCCGCGTCTAGGGCATTTCTTCGTGAGAAACCAGGGGAAGGGGGGTGGAGGGCCAGAACGAATTATTCTTCGAGGAACAGGCGTCGGGTCATGGTTGAACATAACAGGTTTCTGTCTCGATAAGTAATCTACCAGCGGCACTACCTGGAGCCTCCATGACCCTTGAAAAATTGGGTGGTCATGACCCCCAACACAACGAAATGGGGTCATTGACCCATTTGGCAGTGGCCCAAAAAACAAAACGCTACGCCAAAATGGGTTGCCCGATCGGCAAGTGGAAAGGACCAAACCCCGCGGCTTGCCCCTCCGATTGATTTTTGACCCGAGACCCCAGTCCGAAAGCACCTACCTCCCGGAATGTGGGGCGTTGAGGCTTCGAAGACCTTCACAAGCCCGAAGGCTAAGTGAAAGAAAAAACTCATCTACCACACCTCCACTTGCCGTCTCAAACCAAGATATCTTGGAGGAGGGTTCCTCTTTGGTGGTTTGGAATGGTGGTTTGGTGGTTAGGAGGGGCTTGCCATCGACCATCTACAAGGACCAGGGTTCAAATCCCCAAAATCCAAACCACTTTGGGGTTACCTGAAAAGAGTTGTTCCCTAAGGGTCCGATCCGACTGTTTTTGGGCCCTAATGGGTTGTTTTTGAGGGCCCGTGAGGAATTGGTCGGGGTTCTCCATTGCAGGGTCCGGGGGTCTGCATTGGGGGGGTCATGAGCCTTAGGGTAAGAAACCTTAATGATGATAAGGATGAGGACTGTGATGATAACTATCATCGTAGCATCCTCTGTATTACCAATGCTGCCCAACGCCACAATTGAATTGTGTATTGCCGAGCTTGGAATGCAAAAGCACCAGGGCTGTGAAAGTCTATAAGTTGAAATGAGTCACAATCAAATGAGCCAGAACCATATAAGGAAATACAAAGGCGGCCGCAACTATTTATGGCTGGGATTGTCCCTTACTAACCTTCATCTACCCGGGCTTTGATTGTGGCTCAAATCAACACTCCATCAAGTCTTCCTTGAAAGGGTCCGCACACCACTGGATATTCGCGTAACAAGGCCGGTCACTTCACCCTTGGAACATGTCTTTGGTGTCTTTGGATTGCTGCGCGGCTGCGAAACCCCCAGAGTTTTCTGCTCACATGCCCCTCCAGGCTCACTATGATTCACAAATCCAAATTCAATAGTCATGGCAGGGACCATTCATTCCCTGCAGGTCCCTTGGTTCGACATGTGGCGAGTCCCCAACTTGACCATCCCAAATTGACCATACCTGGACTCAATTGTTTTCTGCTCCCCTTCTAAAAGTGACTAACTTTTGGTGGTTTAATGGAAAACCCATCAGTTGGCAAAAAGTGAAAGTCCCTAACAGCCAAGCAAAATGCGCCAAAGTGGAACCTCCATGACTCTGACCCAAAAAGAAATTGGGGGTTGCCACCAATATACAGGGGTCATAGGTCATGGACTGCAAGCGCACTGGGCACTGGCTGGAGCGCCGCTCAGCCCCCCCATGGCGATTCCTCTGAAACCTCCGTGGCTGCCACCGCCGTATTCTGAGCCTGGCACCTTTTTGGGCGCTCGAACGCTGGCTGCTGTTATCCAAAGTTGCGAGTGGCATCCTTTCACACTCTTTGAATCCGCACCGTGCCGTTTGGCATGGGTCTTAGCATGCTTAGCATGGGCCACGTGAGACGGCGTGCTTCAAAGCATTCTGAGATGTATTGAGCCGTCTGGGGGTGGCCTGCTTGAAAGAATTCTCAGATGTCTTGCGGCCATCTGAGTGCTTGAAACAAATCTTGGACCTGTCGGGCCATCTGTGGACTGCTTGAAATCATCCCAAAAAAGTTCACGACCTGCCATTCCGACTAATCGGACTCCAGGGCCATTCGTGTCACTGAACGGCCCTTGACGCCGTAGACTTCTCAAGATTCATGTTGGGGGGTCCTAGAAATAGAGAACATCCGCGGTTTGAATGGTCTTGAAAGGGCACCAAAGGTTTTGTAGGACACGCCCAACAAGAAATCCCGGCAAAATAACTCTCGCCTGCGCGTCGAAGCTTCGGGAATGTCACTACAAGTGCCGGAGCACCACGGGGAAGTCTTTCCCGAAACAGCAAGATACCCAGGCTGCACAAGCGATCTCAAAAATGAACCTTCACGGGTCGTTTTGGACCCAAACAGAACTTCTTTAAATCCCTGCACATTCAACCATCTGAAGCGCGTGAAACTGCTCGTTCAGCTCCTGCAGTACAAAAACTCCGAAGAGCACTGCGACCAGAGCTGACCACCCACAAGTCCAGGCCACGCCGAGTGAGTGCGCCCACTCTTCGCTCAGCACACCCGCAAAGTACATGAAGAGCCATAAGGACCCCACAAGGCAGGATTGCAAAGCCTCCGTTCAGCGACCCTGGAGAAAAACAGGGGAACCCTTTTTGGGGAAGACCAATTTTTTAGTGGGGCAGCCACAAAAAAAAAGAGGAAAAAGGGTGCCACTGAACAACTGAGAAGCATTCCATCCTTTACCCTGGACCAACGGCCTTGCAAGGCGGTCAGACAAGTACAGTCCGAACCGCAGGATCATCACCTGGCCGGCCCCGCAGTTTACGAAGCACGACTCTTCTTCATCAAGCCAAGGGGCTAAACCAAGCTAATTGCCTGGAGTCTCCTTCTGACCCGAAATAAAAATGGGTCAATGACCAACCCTTATTTTGGTGTATCTGAGTTCCCCTTTTCTAAGGGTCAGAAGGAGACTCGCTGATTGTATCTGAGCTGCCCGGAAGCGAAAAACTTCACCTATCCCAGGATCCAAGGCTCTTCAATCCCATACTTTTAGCTCAGAGTGCCCCTACCTCAAAGCGACGCTTTTAAGACGGGAAGGACAAAAACCCGCCATTTTTCACTTTTGGGGGGTGAAAACCAAATTTGTCCTCTTCGCGTTGGAACACTTTGAGTTGGACTTCGGGTCTTCCGACGCTCCGACGCTCCGACGAGTGGCCGACCAAAGCAGATAGAGGGCCAGCGAGCGCAGCGCGAAGGCCACGAGACACTCCACCGGGGCGCCGCCCTTCCAGTACGCCAGCAGCTGCTCCAAGGTGAGGCTCATCACCGGCAAGATGAGCCACAGCAAGTAGTTGATGGGGACCTGCGGGTAACAGTAAAGGGACAAAAAAAAAAAAAAACAGCCCTTGAAACGGTTTAGTTGCAAAGGAACGAATCAATTCAGCCCTTGAAACTTGAGGTTTCTCCAGGTTTGGATGGGATACGTCTCTCCCCAACAGCAAAGTTGCTCCTAATTGTTTCTGGACCCCTGCTGTATAAGATCTTAAAGCGGAGAACAAAGCAGGTTCGTTAAACGAAACACGGGTTGAAAGGACCTGTTGACAAAACAAGCTTCCGTGCAGTTGCCTTGGTGCAGCAGTGAGCCGAAAGCTCGTCGTGCAACTTGCCCCGGACATACTCCGTGAACTGCTGCTCGCTTTCCTTGGGTGCTGTAGATCCCCCAGCAAGAAGTGAAAACTGTTTGCAGGTTAAAGATCCAAAAAGTTAAAGTCTTAAGATCCAAAAAGAACCAACGTCTCAAATGAATTTTGGAATCCAAAAAGTTAAAGGCCCAGAGGCTCCCAATTGATTTAGAGCCTTCAAACAACCTGGTTTTGAGACCCCCAACCACCGATTTCCGGGGTGTCTCTACTGGAGGGGTCGGGTCTTCCATTGAAAGTCCCAGGAGCCTCTGGAGAAAGAAAAGAACCAACAAGTTAAAGTTAAAGTCCAAAAAGTTAAAGCTAGGTCCTCCAGTAGAGAGGTCACAATAAGGGTGCCCTTTTCTCTGTCTATTTTAGTAGGGGCTTGCCCTCCCAACCAAAGGGGTGAGAAAGGGCACTACTGGGGGACCTAGTAAAGTCTCAAGATCCCCAGCCGAGTTTCGTACCAGTACTTGATGGCGGCCAAGACCAAGGCCCGGTCCGAGTCCAGGCGGCACTCGGCCTGCTCCAGCGAGAAGTGCTTCCTCAGTTCTTCGGTGAGCCTATCCAAGAGACCGGGTGTTGGGATGTGACTTTGAACATGAAAAATGCTAGAAAACACTGCGCAGGGCGAAAAAAACTACATGGCAGGGAGCACCCCATGCTGTTCTCCAAAGGCTTCCACGACTCAGTTGTTCAGTAACCCTGGCAAAAAAAAAAAAAAAAAAAAAAAAAACAGGAACCCTTTTTGGGGAAGACCAACTTTTTCGTGGGCCGCCCCACCCAAAAAAAAACAAGCTGGAAAGAGAAATGGTGCCACTGAACAAAGCTTCAGATCCCCGAAGAGCACGTGCTTCTGCAGGTGGTATCTGCGCATGACGTGGACGATGTAGAACAGCACCGGAGCACAAAGACAGTACTCCGCCGGAAAGATCAAATGGCCGCCGGTCATGCCGGCAAAGATCCAAAACACCGTGCACACCAGAAACATGCAAGGAAGCATCGCTGCAATGACCAGCTCCACATACAAAGGACTCAGCCGAATGCGGCCCACGGGGTTTGCGGCCCTGAATGCTGCCAGCTCCTTGGGTTATCGGGGGGCATGAAAACCACATTTTTATTTTTCTCCCCGTAATTGGAGACCTCCCAGGTGCAAATGGGGGTTGATCGATATTCCGATCGGCCCCCAAATGACCATGGGCCAATTTCCCCTTTTAGTGGGAACTATCATTTTTTAGGTGGCTTCCCCCAATGGCCATCCCATGAAAGGACCTTTTCATCACCCCCCCAAGGATGTTTTTTGATCTTGGCCGCCCTTGCAACACCAAAAGGGGAGGCCCAAAATTGTGAAGTTGCCTCCCCAAATCGCCCAAGCCTCGCGCAACATGGTTCCCAACCACACGGATTAGCCAGCCATATGGCCACGGATCAACATCCCGTACCCCCCCAGTGAATATCCCAATCCCAACTAAAATAGACTAACACGGGTGATGCAGCTACCCCAAAATGGTACCATTGGTCTTGACCCACAGCCAGATTCCTGAGGTGTGCTGGCTTTCTTGCTGTATGCCGCCGCCTTTGCAACATGTAAGCAGCGAGGTGTGTCTCACACCCTAATGTTGGTACCTGGTTGGTGAACCACTGCAAGGTGCTAACCCCCCCCTCCCCCAAGGGGCCCCTCAACAAAACTCTGTCATGCAGTACTTTGCACTACCGTTACAAGCAACTTTCAAAAGTCCGGGCCCATAGAAAGTCCAAAACAAGAAGAATACAAGCAAGATTTCAAAAAACTATTGCGGATACATCTTCCAAAGCTGCTGTTTTCTTAGTTCTAAGGGTTGCCATAACAGACCTCAAACAAATCAACTGCAATGCTGCAATCCGTTTATGCCTGGAGAATCGCAGAGGTCTTGGGAGGTCCCTGAAAATGTGGCGCGGAAGACCATCCAAAGTCCTTCCAAGGAGCAAAGACACACCAAAGTCGCGTGAGGTACGGAGGGCTCCACAACACGTGAAGCTCTTTGGAAATGCTCAAAAAGCTTCCAAGCCCGTAGACCCCGCGCTCTGTGAGCTCAGGCTGACACTGATTGATGCCTCAGAGCAGCACCAAGCCTTGCCCCTAATCTAACTCTTTCGAAATGTGGAAGTGTTTCAAACGCAGCTGAAACTGCTTTGTTGACTTGGGCCAAAATGCTTACCTCTTGTTTACCTCTTGCTTGACAACAACTCCAAATGCAGGTTGCAAGCAGCGTCCTCCTTTGAAAGCCTCTTTTGTTGGATCAAGCCAATTGACTACGCGCCAACCGTACATACTAATTAAAACAGCTTGGCCACTGCAGGGAATATGTTGGCGGGGTGTGGAAACGACTCATAGTTAGCGCCCCTGACTGAGACATCTCTGCCTTCCCGCCGCTGTGAGACTTCTGCGTATGCCAACGCATATGGCCCTGTCACAAAGAGGGTGGCTTGCACTATTCGAACACACAGGGCACTTTGAATCATATTGAAAGCGTCTAAGCGGACAAGGGCTCATACCGCGGTCCGCCCAACGGACCCTTCGATCACGCGAGCACCAAACAACAGCCGGCGACTAAAAAGTTTGACACTCCAAGTCCGCAAACAAGATACTCACCACGTCCAGGAAGCAGTCGGGAGAGCTGCTGCAGAGGTAGGGGCTTGCGAGCAAACCAACCAGCTGGGCCAAGGAGGAGCAACTCATGATCCACATGCCGAACGGGCATTCCTGATGAAAATCCTCAGATCCGAAGACCCAGCCCCTTTTCCCTGCCATACTCTGGATGGAAATGCGAAATCCGCTTCTCGCACCACGAAATGCAACTATGGGAAGCCACTGTTGGATTTTACGTTGGGGGAATCGACTCATTCCGTTGGGCTTCTTCGGTGGGGCGAAATGGATCTCGTCCATCCATAGGTCTGCTTGGTGAGACCCGTTGGCGCTACAAAATGCTGGTCAGACGCTAAAAATCGAAAGGGTTCTTGCAATCGCCACATGTTTGAGATGTTCGAACAAATGGAAGCCCCGAGTCCCATTCCCAAACATTCCTCTATCCCCAAACAAAGGCAACTGAAGGGAAGGTGTGGGTGGTTCCCGCACCCCATTAGTGCCTTGTCATGGCGGGTGTCCCCTGCCTCAATTCCAGGGGCCTCTAGTTCCGAACCAACTTGGCTTGCCGCTCCCGCTTCCGGACAAACTCCGCCCTGGTGAAGCAAAGCGCCGTCAATTCCGTCAGGACCCTAAGGAACTCACCGGGAGTGGGGGCAAGCCTCGCTCGGCTCCGTGCATACACTCAGCCCTCGCATCATGCCCAGGCCCAGGCGCCAGGTCTCATAATAAGGCTAGATCGAATTCAGCGACGCCAAGCCAATTCAAAATCAGCACCTTAAACCGCCGGCCTCGACTGAGCCAAGACTGAACTTGCTAAACTAGCAGGGAAGCAATACTGGCAATACCATTTTCAATCTAGCTAGTCAACAACAAAAAAACACTCAACTAATACGTAATACTAAACCAGTACTGAACCGAAACTAAGCCAATTCGCAAGCAGCACAGCACAAAGCCGAACATGATGTCGCTTTCTGCCATTCAAATTCCTCGCTTGCAACTTGCCACTGTGAACCAATTTTGGGCTGTCGGCTTGGACCCATATTCAGGTGGGATATGTTCACATTTGGCCCGCTTGTCCGCTTCCAAGTGACACCGAAACGGATTCCTATTCAAACCCTCAGTCTGCTTAGTCAGAAGTTTCTCACATCCATGTTAAGGGTCCGATCCGACTGTTTTTGGGCCCTCCAAATGGGTTGTTTTTGAGGCCCAAGTGAGGAATTGGTCGGGGCTCTCCATTGCAGGGCCCGGGGGTCTGCATTGGAGGGGTCATGACCCTTCGGGCGCTATCGTTGTCACTCAGTTGGGCCGGCTTAAGCACTACTGAACCACGAAGTGCCATGTTTCGCTAATTCAGGGAGCGGCCACCCCTTGATTTGAACAATCTCCCTTTGGTTTCCCGTTCAAATGGCCAGCGTCCAGATCCTGTTTCACATCAAAGGGTGGGGTTCAAATGTTCAAAGTTCCCTTTTTTCTACTCTTTTTCCGGTGTTTTGGAGGAGACCATGTTTTTTCCACATTTTTTTCCGGTGTTCTGGAGGAGGCATAGGAGACCCGTTCTTGCGGTGTTCAATCCGAGCGTCGTGAAAGTGAGCGTGATACACGAAGGGCATGGGCAGCACATTTAGCGCACAAAGGATCCCAGACACGAGCACTGCGAGCGCCCAAGAAGATGCCGACACCCCCCAGCCAGTCCTCAAATCCGACAAGATGCAAATACAAACGGGTCCAAAAGGGGTGACAGGGGTGTCAAGGGATACAGAACGGGTGACAAATGATAACTTGTGTTAGAGAATTTAGAAAGGAATGACGGATTAGAATATTTCACCAGCCTGAAATAATGTGGGGAGCCATTCCCAACCATTTGGGGTGAGGTCGTGCCAGGTTGTTATAATTCACCCAGATAGATACAAGTAGATGATCGATGTGTAACAGCAGGGGGTCCATAGATTTCCCACTAAAACATCACCCCTAGCAAGGGGAACCAAAAGGCCCAAAACGCCCGGTGATTCTTAAAGCCCACCAAAACTAGAAATCCAGGAACCCCTGCGCAATAATACACCCTTCCACTAATCACCCACTTGTGGTTTCATTCTGCTGATCATGAATTATGGGATCTCTAGCACCGAGAATGGCGTGCATCTATTGAATTGGCTTTCATGACTGTCAACGACATTATCCTTCCCAAGAACTGAACCTCCCCCCCAAAAAAACACACACACACACACTCCTCAGTGTAGTGATTCTTTTTTGGCAAAATGCTTTCTTTCTAGGGGATCTTGCTTCAGGGATTAGACACGGGACCAACACCGCAGTAAAATGTTTAGGTCGAAATGCTTGCCGAGCGTCTGCAGCAGCAAGGCCACAACTTTGCTTCTGCCAGGGGTAGCCCAGGTGTGTGAAATGAACTTGTCAAATTTGAACCTGGTCTCGAAGAGCTGCATTTCAACCCCGCCCCGACGTCCGAGGCCGAGTTGGGATTAAACAAATGTGTTGAACAGGTGGCTATGAATCTTCATGAGTGATGCCATCCCCATCTAAACTCAGCTTCTTGCCATTGAATTGGTGGTTGGGATTGGTTTGGAGGTTGGATTTCCAAAGGCAGGGGAAAAAACACTCCAAACTACCAAACAGAAAGTCAAACAAATAGACCCAAAAGTCAGATGCTGGGAGTCTGAGATCGTTGTAGGAGGCTCCTGTTGAGGAGTACTTCTTGTAGGTTCCACGTCAATTCGCAGAGCCGGGGCAGGAAGCCTAATTGCAGTTGAGTTGCTAATTAGGCCTTTGAACATTTTCCCTTGCGAGTTGGAGGCAGCGTATTCCCCCAAACGCAGAAGGCTTCTGGTGTCCGTTGTGTAACAGGGCGGTAATCGCTTGCATTCTTCATTTGAGGTCCTTAAGCAAAGTGCCAGCTCCCATCAGTCCCAAGTGTGCCTCGACGAAGGACTGAATTCCTTTGGCGTCTCTCTGAGTCCTTTGATTCCTTGCAAGGTGCCAGTCTTCACTACATCGCCCTAAGGAAAGCTTCGGGATCAGATCCAGCAACAGGGACCGCAGTGATGAAACGAGGCTCTTTTTGCAAGTGGCTGATGTCCAAGTACAAGAGCCACGAAAAAACACGGGCCTCATGATATGGCTATGGGTGAAAATCCTGTACCCCAGTGAACATCCCAATCCCCACTAAAACAGGCTCTAAATTGGGTGGTGCACCTAAAGTACCCCAAAATGGTACCAAAACGGTATTGACCCACATCATGAGGTCGTGGTGCAGCGTGAGATGTATGTTACAGCAGCTTCCACCATAACGAAACAGCACCGGGCGCTCGAATTGGAAAGCACGCTCGGCCAGGCGAGCCGCAAAGGCCGCGACTTCTGCCATAGGCCAGTCCTCACGCAAGTCCCGGCCCATATGGGAAAATCATACTCACTTGCCCAAAGGACCTGAAAATAAAAGGTTAACCTTTTGGGGTCATGACTAAAACTAGACCAAACCCGGAAAACTGAAAGGTCAAAAGGTCGATTCGCTTTGGGCAAGCAAGCAGTAAGGTCAGCTTTTGTAAGGCCCCTGAAACTTGCAGAACCTGGAGGTCCCATGCCACACCTCCACTTGCCTTCAGGGTCTCAAACCAAGTTATGTTGGAGCCCCAATATCCATCAGGAGCATCAGGGTTCCTCTTATTTGGTGGTTTGGAATGGTGGTTTAGTGGTTTAGGAGGGGTTTGCCATCGACCATCTACAAGGACCAGGGTTCAAATCAAAATCCAAACCACTTAGGGGTTACCTGAAAAGAGTTGTTGCCTAAGGGCCCGATCCGGCTGTTTTTGGACCCTCCAAATGGGTTGTTTTTGAGGGCCCGTGAGGAATGGGTCGGGGTTCTCCATCGGAGGGTCCGGGGGTCTGCATTGGAGGGGTCATGACCCTTAGCTTACCCCTTAAAACTCCAGGCCCTGGGGAAGTGTTCATCTTTTACAGACAAAGTTGCCCATGTTACCCAAGAAGTTACGAACAGTTTCGTGTTTTTAAGAGGTAAGTTAGGGAATCGTTGGACCACACGTCGGACTCACCAGACTGTCAAAGGCCAGCTTTGCATCGGTCGAGGGAATGAACCTGTCGATGCACATAAAGGCTTTGGCAACACCTGCCAGAAAAAAAAAAAGAAAAGAAAACAAACACAAAGTGAACAAAAACATAAAAAACCTGGAGAAACCCCCATGTTTCAAGCCATGGCTTTGAATCCCAAGTCGAAAAGAAAGGGCGATGTTCCGGCGAACACGGTTGCCGCTTCCGAAGGTCCCAGGAGTTGGAGTAGCCAAAACCTCGGACTTGTCGTGGACCCCCAACGGGCTATGCGCAGGGCTAGCCCTTCAATTCTAAGGCCTGACTCAGGGCTTATCCTGGGATCCTGTTGCGGAGTTGAAAGGAAGCCGGTATACGCTACGACTGGCAAATGTCAGTTGGCTTGTTTCTGCCGCCCGCCAGCAGCTCAGCCCTGTAATCCAGGCAAAAGCAACCTGAACAAACCGTGGTACTTTTGGGGCCTCAGCTAGCTTCCTGCAGCACCCCCTGACACTTTGATCCTTGGACTCGGACTCCAAAAAAAAAAGTCACGCGGGCGTCGATGGACCCGCCGACAATTGTTGTTCGAGACGTCTCCTCTCCGGCAGCTCCATATCACAGGGGGACTTGCGCCACAAGCTGCCCAGGTGCCACAAGGTGGCCTTTAGCCTGATGCCCCGCACCAGGCCATCCTGCGCGCTCCGCTTCGCTTTCGCGGTCGCGTTCGCATGCGAAAAATGGATGGGGTTTGGTTGGCCGTTTGGCCGTGCCGGCCCTCCCCACCCAAAATCAACACTGCCGGAACCGGGCGACCTTCGGGGCCCGGTCGTTTCAAAAGGAACATGGTCCAAACCACCACCCCCCCCCGAACGTTTGGTGGGAGGGTACCACTAGCTCGAACCCGTACCCGCCAAGAACCTGGTGGGTTTCGTCTTGTCCCTTGAAAGCCGCCAACGGGGGTACCCTTGAGGAAAGACACACCTAGAACCTTCCCAGCCCCTTTCCAAAGCCCCTTTCCAAACCTCGGAGAACATCGAAACAACGCATCATCCCAAATAGAACTAGGGCCTAAGCCTTTGGTCATGCAAAACGCACATCCACTCGTTAAACTGAGAAAATAACCCAAAGGACAGCTGCAAAGCAGGTTCTCGGAGTATGAGTGAAGGAGTATAGGCCTGCGTCTTTGTCTGTGTGTGTGTGTCAAAATGGGAACCAGCAAATTATGGATTTCCCGTTGGCGTCCCTTAACAAAGAACAGGGAAATGGTACCTCAAACAAGCACACTCCTATCCGCCTGAGCGTGCATGACACTTCTCTGGACACGTACATGGCCGACCCAGCTACGGGCAGCACATGTGCAATGTGCTTGACTGGGATGTGCTTGACCGCATGGCTTGCCATCGCAAAGGGTCTGCCGAACTTCGGGCGAACATCGCTGGAGAATCCAATTTGTTCATCTTCAACAGGTCTAGGGTGAGATTTGTTCCTACACAAAACAAATCGAGGAGCTCCCTGAAAATTGGGATCGGCTGGGAAACCATCCCTATTGGGCCTCCGATTGAAGCCTTCAGCTTCAGTGTGCCCCACCAACCCTGGTGTCAGATGACCAGACCCAGAAGGTGATCCCCTTTTTGGGAGGGCCACTTCTTCAACTAAAAATGGAGCAAACAGGGAAACTATACAAGTACCTGCCTGGAGTCTCCATGATCCTCAAAAAATGGGTCAATGACCTAATGACCCCATTTTCTCCGGGTCATTGGTCATGGGTCGACCCCAGGCGGACATACAAGGTTTGCACCTCTTCGGTTGCCAAACCTGGGAAACAAGGTCAAAAGCTCGATTCGCTTTGGTAACATAACATGGGGTTAAGAGTAAAACAAATCGGTTCCCAACCCCCAAGTACACCAAGCTTTCAGATTCCATCCCCCGCAAATTTAAGCTGGAACCCCAAATAGAAGGTGCCCGGGAAGGAATTGGTTCCACGTTGGCCAGGAGTGCAATGAACAGTTCGAGATGGAGGGTGTCTTTCGCGCGCGCAGTGCTGCAGCCCCTCCTCCGAGAGATGTCTGGGACTATGCCCGCTCTCTTCTGTGGCCTTGGGGGTGTCAGAGCCCTTGTCGCAGGAACTTCCTCAGAGGCGTGAAGCAGGCTGACAAGTTACCGCATTTTGTTCCCCACTGACGCGGGCCCCCTTGAAACCCAAACAAAACCATCCAAAAATATCTAGAGGGCCACTCCAAACATTTCAAAGAAGTTTCGCGAGTGTGCACACTCCACTCCAAGCAAGCTGCTACACTGGTTCGCCGGGGTGGGACATGGCGACTGCGCCGCCTCGGCTTCAAGCTCCAAGTCCGGATGGCTCTCGGGATACGGGGGATGCGCCTCAGGGCGGAATGTTGGCACTGCCAAGTGCCTTGCTCGACGCGCGGTGCTTTAAGCAAAAACAAACTGCACATCTACCCATCCAAAATCACAAGATTCGGGAAACTCGCAAGGCAAAAAATAGGATGACCTTCCGTGAAGAAGCAGTTTTCCGGGCAAAGGCAAACACAAACAGACTAGGAAGATTCTAAGACCCAGGTCTACCCATGCTCTTTTTCTGGTTTCGCTTTGGGTAAATTAAGGATCATGGGCTTTTTTCGGCAACCAGTGCCGAAAGTTCGACACAAAAAAAGCACAATGTTTACCCATTTGTTGGCCGACACTCGGGGGCACACAGAAAAAAAGCTTGTTCTGACTCAGTTCCATATTTCCCCTACAGCCGAAAGCTTTGCCCAGACGCGCCTTGATGATATCTTGCAAGGGATGTGGTTCCTTTTGGCAGCAGCTCGTTGTGCCCATGACAGAAAAGTGGGCGCGCGTCGCTGCGTGCTGAGCCGGCAAACGGATGGACGTGGAAGCTAAAGCATTTTTCAAACTTGGCTCGGTTGCTTTCTGCTCCCTGCTGAAAGTTTAACTTTTGGTGGTGTAATGGAAACCCATTAGTTGGCATAAAGTTAAAGTCCTAAAATCCAAGCAATATGCACCAAACTTGGTATTTGTCTGGGTTCACATCCCAGAAAGCCCCGCCCAGGGGTTATATAAGGGGTGGAAAAAGCCAGGCATTCAGGCAAAATGAGCCCAAACAAGATGTTTGATTTCAGGTTTCTCCCAAAGAAAAAACAAAACGGGCTTCCCTTTATTGTTTGCGTCAACGCTGACACAGAAACACCTGAACCCTCATGCCCTTAAATTTGTTTTTACCCCAACATTATGGGGTGATCGTCTTTTTTATGTCGCCTTTTTTGTTGGTAGTTTGAGGGCCCAGGCACATTCGACCAACATGGGGTGCTAATATTATTATGTTAGACCTCACCTCGCAAAACTTCGGGGGGAAGGGCCCAAAAGGTATATTATATCGATCGCGCGCAATGAGAAGTATGAGCCTGATGATTGCTGGTTCTCCACTTGAAAACGTGTCTTCGACAGAACCTTTCGGTTCATGTCAACCAACCAAGGACCAAGCAACAAATTTGATCATTCACCAAAAAACCTGAATCTGAACTGCGGGATGCAAAGAACCTTATTGCATGATAGTCATCCGCTCATCCCCCAAAGTCCTTGGAACCGCTCTCCGAAACAAATGCGCAGACCCCCAAAGTGGTTCGTGTTTGTGGGTTCGTGTTTTAATAACTTAAGGGTGCCCGAACCTCAAAGTTTCGACTTAAACATGGGATGAAACCTCCCAACTTTGTGGGGGTGATCTCCCATCTTTATGGGCAGCTTGCGGGTCCGGGTGCCTTTTCTTGGGGGTTGGTTGCCAGAGGCGAGCCCAACGACGAGCCCAACGAGGCGTTCCAAGCCGGGCTCGCTCAAATCCTGGGGCTCCAGCTGATGGCATCGATGATCTCTTTGACGTGGCCGGCTCCAGCCAGAACCTCATCCGAGATTTGACCCTTCCCCCCCAAAAAAAAAAAAGCACAGGAAAGCCAAACGGCAGTGGGATTACCCTCACTCCCACTAACCTGGCACCTGACGAAGGCTCAGAAGAGGAAAATGATCTTGCAGGTACCCTCCCACAGGTGCTATGTTAGTGGAAGGGAGGGTATATTCAAGGGAAACCAAAAGGATTCAACACTTTTCAGGTGGGTTCATGGGTTCCTACCGTGATCCTTTTCCTTGGCCGGAAACAAATGGAGTTTCCAGAATTTGTGGGGCTCAGAAATCTGACACATACGCATGGCATCCATAAGTGTCCTTTTAGCGGAAATAAATGGATTTCCTTGGTAGATGAGAAAAAACCACCAGGAAAACCAGGGATCGCCATCTATCAGGGATCCTTATTATACACCTGAACATTGCCTTGTAAGTGGTGGTGTCCCTTTAGTTTGGTGGAAAGAGCAACATGTTTCAAATGGGCAAAATGGATTTCTTTTAAGGAGCCCTGTCGATTTTTCTACCAAAAGACCCAACCAAGGACACCTATGGCATCCTAAAGCTCCAGGCTTCAATGGATTTCGCGAAAAGGTCGACCTGCCCAAGCTGACTTTCAGAAGCAACTTTCGGTTTGCTCGGAGAGGTGGTTGGTCTCAAGACTTTAGGAGGGAATCCCAAACCAATCCAAACCACTTAGGGGTTAGCTGAAAAGAGTTGTTCCCTAAGGATCGCGACTGTTTTTGGGCCCTGATGGGTTGTTTTTGAGGGCCCGGGAGGAATTGGTCGGGGTTCGGGGTTCTCCATTGCAGGGTCCGGGGGTCTGCATTGGAGGGGGCATGACCCTTAGGGTGGAAGATTAAACGGGGTTTACCATCCGCAACCTAACCAGCAAATCCAAACCAGCAAGTAGAGGTCAGCTGACTCTTGGGACATTTGCAAAAGCTGCGTCGCACGGCTTCCATCAAGGCAAAAGAAGCAAGGGTTCGAAACAACCCGACTTACGCGGAGCTGGGACAATGCCAACTCTGCCGTCATTCCAATACTGAAAGGGGACACAGCAAGCTCGTTTTGGCTTCCGATTCGGTGGAATCCCTCGCTGTCAGCAAGGATACTTTCAAGTAAGAATATATAGAATAGTTGAGGAGGGCCCGAAAGAACCACCCACAAGCACGCGGCAACTTTTTCTGTCAGCTCGGGTCACCCAGTGAGGTCGCAAGAGACCAGGCCGCTGAGCATGGGAACTGTCCATGCAAGTCTTTGTACAAGGCCGAGTCCACTAATTGAGACGTGCCCGGAACGGAAATGGAATCCTACAAAGGGGGCCTGGGGAGGCGTTACCCTCTTAGTATGAATCAAGGATGTAGCTCCACTTTGGCAAGTCCATGCTGATCATAGGCTTGCAAAACACGACCTCTTCATCGCTGTCCGCCTTTGGATCGCAAAGAAAGTTGCTCTGCGGCAACAGCACCACCTCCTGTGGTAAACGCTGGTACATGTGCAACACCTCTCTCTCAATCTCTCGTTGTTTCTTTTTGTTCTCTCACTCTCTCTCTCTCTCTCTCTGAGTCTCTCTCCGCAGTTCCGCCGCGGAACCGCCCACAAGTCCAGTCACATACCCGCAAAAGTAAACGTGGACAACGAAACAAAGGCTGCGAGCTGACTGAAGGGTGGCTCCTGGACGGTATGTCCAACAATATTGGCGGTCATGGCTGGCGCTTGGAGACCGGGCATCTGTCACTCCAAGATACAAAGGTCGCGCCCCTCCAAGAAGGCCAGGATTTCGCCGAGGGCTACGGCGACAAAACAAGGGTAGGGTACGTCGAATCCCTGACTGATGTGGGCATCCCCCCAGCACATTAATGCCAGGGCAGTGACAGCACGGCATGAACCATGCCGCTGGCAAGGTCAACCAAAAACAAACTCAATTGACCATCCAAAACATGCGTGCTTGCTGTATGCAAGCTGCAGGCCCTCGAGAAAACACAAAAGCATTGGCCTAGAGCACAACTGCTGCATGGGAAAAACAATGTTTTGCCTCCCAGCTGCACCTCGTTAGCCTCTTGCCCCAAAAGAAATATCCTAACTAAGCGCCACCAAACAACCAACCCACCAAACAACCAGCCAACCAAACAAACCGAAACACACAAGCAAACAAAAAAACAAATTACACAATCGCACGACCACACACTCGCACACACAGACACAGACACAGTCACAGACACAGAAACAAACACAGACACAAACACAAAAAAAAGACACAAACACAAAAACACAAACACACAAACACGCCAACACGCAAACACAAGAGGCAGTAGAAGGACAAACTGTTGGTGCCACAGCGGTAACATTGGCCTCCAAACTGCGCAAACAAAACACCAAACAATATTTTAGATGACGTTTCGTCTGTCGTCAAACCTAAAAAAGACCTGGTTTGTTTTGGAGTCAGGCTACCCTACATTCGTGGTTCGGACCGGTTTGCGTATTCAACCCGGGCTAGAGGGCAAGTGGGGCCCCTCCTCGTCGCTGGCCGGCTCCGGCCAAAGTATGTGGCCATCCGCCAGACACACCACTTTCTCAACCTGGGCTTTGCTGCAACGACCCCCCGGCAAAAAGTTGAACACTTTTTCTTGGTTGACGTTGGAAGGGGAGCAACAATTCTCAAATTTTAGCAGTTCAGTGGGGGTTTCAACCACTAAACCACAATCAGCAAAAATGGGAAAAATGTGTAACAACAACCAGGTTGTGGGGGGGGGGGGTGAGTGGAAAACCCCCCAAAAACCTTTTCAACCAAAGACTTCAAGTCTAAAGATCCGTTGCCCAGTCAAGTGAAACTGAAGTTCCAATAGGGCTCCTGAAAGGTTCCGTCCTTCGGGTCCGCTCGGTGGGGCTTTCTGGTCCAACTTGGGGTCCAACGTGGTCTAGGGGGGAGCCCCACAACTGCATGCTTGACGTTGGGTTTGGGGGGCATTTTTTTTTGGCAGTTATAGTGGATTTGGATTTCCACCACTAAACCACACTCAGCAAAAAACGTGCAAAATGCTTCCCAACAACAACCAGGACTGGGCCCCTTTGGTTTCCTTTGAAACCAACGCCAACTGTAGGGCACCCTCCAAGGGGAGCGAGCAAACCCAGACAAATATGTCCATAATATGGACGTATTGCCCCATGTGCCTTTGCACACGTTATTCTTGCTCGGTCGGTGGACCACACACATTTCCCCAAACGGTTAAAGATTCAACACCGCATGGCGGTCAAGTTCTCAAAGATCCCTGTCCATGTCCCTGTGAATATCGCGGCGATTGAGACATCCAAATTCCGAGGGGCGAATTGAACAAGGATTGAGTCTTCTCCCCAAGGAAAAAATATGTCCAATACAGGTTCCCTTTAAAACCGACCGGGGAAAATAACACACTATTCCGATGCAAATCGATCTTTTGGGCAAGGGACAAAGGAGCGAGTTTTTTTCAACGGCTCAGTTCATGGTGCCTTTGGGGCTAGTTTTCGCCAGCTGGCTGGGACGGAGTGGCTTGACCTCAAAGCTGACCACATCTGAGCCAGATGAAATGGAGGATCCATCCGTTCTCAGGGCTGTTCCCCTCAGGAACAACAGGTGACAAAGCCAGAATTGTGCTTCCAGGTTTCGCCTATTCAGGTCCACTTGCGCGCTGCGCCTTTTTCGGGTTAGCATTTTTTCAGTGAGAAACACGGCAGAACAAAACAGGCAACAATAGTGCCATTAACTACCTGGTGGGGAGCAATCACGGGTTTTCCTTGGGCAACCCCATTGCGCAAGTCCCTAAATTACTCACTTCCCGAAGGATTGGCCTGAAAAAAACAAAATTTGTTGTTTACCACTAAAGTGATTTTTCTTAGATCCAGGAACTCGCGGAGTGGAATTTGGAATTCACTAAACCCCGCCAAGCAGCGTGAGCCAAGCTAAGCCTGCCATGCGTGTCACCGGGCGTGAGGATGACTCCGTTGCCTAAGTCTGAGCAGCCGAATCTGTCTTGGCAGAGACTGCCCTGGTATCCAAGTCACCGGTTGAAGGGAAACCACCCCAGTTTCTAACTTTGATAACCTCCAGATTGTTTTTAGAAAGGCCAAAAAAACAACGCATAATGAGCCCAGCTACATCTATAATTCTCCAAACTCACTTGCCCAAAGCGAATTGAGCTGTTAATTGGTTGGTTTCCCCGATTCGGTCCCCCAAAGGTGACAACCATGCATTTCCAGGTCCGTTCCTGGGCAAGTAAGAAGGGTGGATACGCAGTTGGCAACGAATCTGAATGCATATCTTTTTGCTGGTAAGGGATCCCCAAAATGGCGATTCCCTAGTGGTGTTCCGTTAATATCCCCACACAAATCCCCCCCCACAAAATCATAAAACAGAAAAAAACAAGAACAAAAACAAGTACAAACCCATATATACAGTGATTCTGAGCCAATGAGCAGATCCCAGAACAAGCTTCGAAGTCCGTTCTCGATTTCCATGAGCTCACAAGCACTTGCGATACAAAGGGCCGTAGCCCGTATGGATCTGGCAAGCAAAGTCCGAAACTCATGGGGGCTGGGGGGGAGGGAGGAGGGGGGGGGGAGCCCAAATAAGCCCTAAATAACGCCTTATGAAGGGCTTAATAAGGGCGTATTTGGGCTCCCCCCTCCTCCCTCCCCCCCAGCCCCCATGATAAACAATCCCTGTGATTCCATTGACCTGAGTAGGAACCCAAGACCGCCTGCCTTCTCTCCCCGAAAAGCATGCCCATGGAAACCACCACATTTGCTTCTCCGCTTCTTGTGGTTTCCTGGAATCCACCACCCTTGGCTCAAGCATCATTGTTAACCATCACTAATAATCTATAACCATCATTAACAACCAAGCATCACTCAACCATCATTTACATGGCTCATCAACCATCATGTCTCTTAATCCACCCTTGGCTCCTTAACCATCATATCCAAACCTTTTGGCCCTGCGGTTCGTCCAGCTCTTTGGGCCAAGTGGCAACTCTGGAAGAACTTGATCCCCGCGGCCATCGCGCTGGCAGCCGACACGTAGATTGCAACCTGAAGCGCGGAGGCTTGGAGTCAAGCCGCGGCGCAGAGCGAGGACAAAGAAAAGGATACCTGGGGCCTCAAACTACCCACAAAAGTGGGACATCACCCACTGATTTGGGGTTGTAAAAGCCAATATCACCAATGTTTCAGGGCAGTTTTCAGGGTTCAGGTCTCCGTTTGGCGCATTCATGGGGCCGCAAAATGGACCCAAAAGGGGAACCCAGCAGTTGGTAAACATCGACTCGCCTTGGGCAAGTGAGGCAACCTGGTCGTGCCACGCCCAAGCGGCTTGACATACGATGCAGGGGAGCAACCTGGTGGGTCACTGGAAGTAGATCTTCTTCTCTTTCCCCAACAGCTGAAAGCTTTGGGGTCTCAGCCCAGATAGGCTCTGGGGTGGTCCGGCTCCACGAGGGTTCCACCAGGGTTCCACCGCATGTTGTTGGGGATATCGCCTGAGCTTCTTCTTTTTTGTGGGGGGGGGAATGCCCACCCCCCCACCCCAATTTTCGTGGTTTAAGGGGGTGGGGATCCAACAAGGTCTTCCAGGCTTCGAACAAGTAGCCTGGCTGAATCAGAGCTTGGTCCTGATGGCAAGAGAGGCTTTTTTTGGCGTGGAAGATTTCTGAGTGGAAAGCCTGATCTAAGGGTCCCGATTGCCGCGGGCTATGACTAGGTGACTAGGTCTGCCAGTAGAGAGGTTAGAATAAGTTGGTACACTTTTTTTTCTGTAGTCTATTTTAGTAGGGGAACCCTCCCAACCAAAAAAGGGGTGAGAAAGGGCACTGGGGGACCTAGTATGACGTCTCGAAAAGATCGGCCTATCGTTGGCAGGGAAACAATGTTAGCGCAACATCCAGCTGAACCGGCTGGGTCGCATGATTGCGGCCTTGTGGCTTTCGGGTTAAGATGCGCTATGCAGAATTCGCCAGGAAGCCAGGAAGACACCTAAAAACACGTCAGCCCACGCAGGTTCAGAACAACACAAGGCCAAGGCTTCTTCAGTGTCCCGGAACCCCGGAGGAGCCCTTTCCAGTCCTTCATTTGTTGAGGAAAAGCAAGTCCGTGAATGGACAAGTGGCTGTACTAGGACACGGCACGAAGGATCTGCAATCTTTGCACGTCCAAAACCTGAGATACGGGATCTAAAACGGACCGTCATTATAAGTTTCGCTGGTTTTACTTCCGGATTGGTGTGCTGGCAGCCCAGAACCCAAGCAGCAGGGGTTCACCCACGTCAACACGCCAAACTGCAATCTGAAAAGCTCCTTAGCTTGTTCTTGCCAACAAATTTGGATCCCCCAGCTCCTTGACCCCCTTCCAAGCCGCTTCAACGTCCCAAAGAAACCACCCCGACCTCGCCCTTCGCGAACGAGCGAACGCCGGCCTGGCAGTCGCTGCGCATGCCGCTCACCGGCTGGTCAGTAGGAAGGCGCGTGGTGAAATGGATGTGGTTCCGCGCCATGCGCGACAGGCCCCCGCTGCGGCGGATCTCCTCAGACTCTTGGTTGCTGTTGACCCCCCTGCAAAAAGTGGACAACTTGTTGGGGGTTTAGTGAAACCCCCCGTGATTTCAACCAAAAAGCTAAAGTCTAAAGATCCGTTGCCCAATAGCAGTCAAGGACTGTCAGAGCATGGGAACTTGTCTGACTGGGGAGGGGGGAATAGTGGTAATGGACACACAGGGTCCAGTTTGCAACCGGTCTTTCATTTGGGGTGCTGAGTTTTAGGGGTCGAGTTCGCAAATTGTAGAATGCCTCTTGCGGCTCTGGTGGATGTTCGTGGGAGGGGAAATTGCGGGAAATTGCCGGCCGGGCTACTCACAATCAAAGCCCACCCTTAAAAACTCTACTTCCATTTGGTTAGACCCCTGGAAAAATAATATTTCCAGTAGTGATAGGTTCCCTTTAAAACCAACAAAGGGAAAACACAAAACATCTTCATTTCAGCAAATGGAAGTCTTAGCTTCGGGAACGGGGCTTTCTGACTCTCCCCATAGGTAGCCTTTTGGGAAAATAGATGGGTTTCCCTGATTCAACAAAACTCATCTAAATTAGTGGAACCCATCGAATTTTAACCAGGCTCACCGATGAAAAGGACACCTGTCACTCTCCCGAAACGCCTCTCCTGCCACGCTGAGAGGTAGGTGCCATGAATGCAGCTGCCCAGATCTTGCAACGGCGTCAGCAGCTCATCGTCCTGGGAGCGAGCCGGGCTTCCTTCTTGGCAGGGAGCTGGCGCCCTATGAGTCTGCAGGGGGAGCCTCTCAGAATCTATGTGGGAACACATGGGTACTGGAACTAGGACCCCAGCAAAAACAAAATATATATTTTTTGCCTGGTTTCTGGAAAACAAAGGGAACCCCAAAAAGAAAAAAAAAGGAGCTAATTCTGGGGAAGCATTGAAGAACATATCGAAAACCCACCCGGGGATTGGAGATAAAACACACCTAGGTCCTCCAGTTGAGAGGTTTGAATAAGGGTACCCTGTTTATTTGTTCTGTGATCTACTTTAGTAGGGGAAGCCTCCCCAATAAAAAGGTAAAGGGCACTACTGGGGGGATGTAGACCCTGCTCAAAGGAACCTGCATTCCCTGCTGTGGAAGATACTAAGGCGTCTCTTCTTGGTTGACGTTGGAAGGGGAGCAACAATTAAAATGTTAGCAGTTAAGTGGGGATTTCCCACTAAACCACAATAAGCAAACATGTTAAATGTTTCCGAACAACAACCATGTCTTTCTCACAGCGAGACATAGCTTCTGGGGTTGGAACAAAAGTCTCCCCGGCAACAAATAGTTTCGTGCTCAAGACTCAAAACTACCTCCCTGCGCGGACTTTTCAGCAATGAAGCGAATTTGTTTCGAGTTTCTTCCACACAAAAAACTAGGCGCCTAAATGCCGAGTCGACTCAACACATGCTCGAAATATGCTCAAGCCCAACAATTGCCGTTTTCCTTGTGTCCCTTAAACCGGCAACCACAAATACGTGGTACCCCCCCCAAAAAAAAAAACACCCACACGGCAACCACATGGAACCCGCTGCTCCGAACGCCCCCCCCCAACTTCGTGGCAATCCCCCCCCCCCCCCCCGCCGCGCGCGGCTTCGCCTGCACGAGGCGCATGGTGTGGCCCTGGGTGGCGCGCAGCCATCGCTCCGAGGCGGAGACCGTCAGCTCGAAGCGCCGTTTGGGGTCCCGACGGAGCAGCTGCTCCACCTCCTCGAGAAGGAAAGCGGAGGGAAAATGGGCTCTTCTGTTCGGAGCCCTGCCGTGTTTGTGTTTTTGGCAAAGGAGAATCAGAAGGAAGAACCACCATCTTGGGGGGCGTAGAAAAAACAACACCAAAGATCGCAACAGGAAAAGGGTTGTGGTCATATGGGGTTGCTGGTCACCGGCCAACTGGGGAGATTCTGTGCAGGTTCCGCCATAGGGTGTGTTTGGATATGTAGGGCATCCTAAAAATATGTTTGTGTCTGTGTTGGGCTTCCCAGTAAAAGCACACCAACAAGGGTACCCTCAAACAAACGGCCAAAGCAAAACCGAGTGACCCAGGCCATTTCTCCCCTTTTGCTCGCCTTGAACCTGACGTCTTTTGGTTTCCCTTTAAAACCAAACACACCTTGGCTGGACAGAGCCCACCCCGCAGCAGCCGGCGCCAGCAGCCGGTTTGCAGCCCTGTGTGGGGTTGACCCTTTTGAGGCCCAACAAAACTGGTCGAGCCGCAGGAAGCTGCCCAAATCACTTTGTAAACAACAAAGTTGTTGTACCGTGCTCAACGCTACACCCCGGATTCACGTGGAACCCCGGTGTAGCACCCGTTGGGGCCCACCGGATCTGCGCGAAGCGACTCCGATTCTCGGACGCCTCACACGTGAGTGTCCTTCGGCATCGGCCGGGCTAGGTGATTAACTGGGCTCTAGATTCATTGAAGCATTACCGAGCCTCCTTTCCCTTTTGAAAGACATTTGAACCAAAGTGGCCGTGGGTCAAAACCAATGGTAATTTCCATTTTGGTTGGAAGGTGCACCACCCATTATAGTCTATTTGGTGGGGATTGGGATGTTCACTCAGGGCACGATTTGGATTTCGACCCACGGCCAAATGGGTTCCCCCCCTCTGTCCGCCCAAAACCCGAAAAAATCCGCCTCCACGGTGTAGCTCCCAGCCCGAAACTCCGGCAGAGCCAGGATCTCCGCGAGCGGCGCGAAGCCGTCCGACAGGATGCCTCAGGATGAGGAAACCTGCGGAAGCCTGCAAACGTTTGAGCCCATAGGTGGCCTATCCCCCCAACCTGAGGGGGGAAAAAGTAGGGGGTCCCCCAATTGCATTTATCTAGTATGGAAGAAAAAATGGAACTACAAATGGAATTCCAGGGGTCACCCCCCTCCCCCAGTTCCATTAAGGGGGGCGGGGATGGTGGCCTTTTTGGAAAAATAGATGGGGCGTCCCTCGCAAATGGGGCACAAAACCCATCTAGACTAAAAAGGACACCTATGTTTGAGCCCCTGCAAAACACACACCAGTTGTTGCTTTCCTGCCAGGGAGGGGAGTCCACAAGATACTGCTGAGGTCTTATGATTCATCTACCTCTGGCCTCCCGCCAGTACTGACTGGTCAAGCGAGGTAGGAGTGAGGAACAAAACAAATGGATTCTCGTTCTTGCCGGTTCACTGTGGGCTGCTTGCAAGGCCGACTGGTGTTTGTGGTTGAACCGCCTGTTGGGGATCACCTCTTTCGATTTTCTTCCACATAAAACCCAAAACCGGAGATCGGAAACCGATGCTTCCAGCTAAGTCAGGGTACAGTAACCTAAGCTGTTGGGATGACAACAAACAGGAAACAACACTTGCCCAAAAGGTCAGTTGTCGGCATTTGCAAGTCGAGCTGAATGGGTTGACTTCACAGATTCCGGACAGAACAAATGGTCTGTGAAAATAGGGAACTCCACAAATAGTGGCTTGCCCGAGGTAGCCTCTAGAACAAAAAACAATCAAAGAAAAAAACATGGCATACATGCACAGACACGCTTTCCCCTGAGGATAAGAGCGCGGAGGCGAGACTACGCCTACTCAGGGGTAAGAGAGTGCATCGAGCATTGAGTTTTAGCAAAAGGGGCCCCCAAAAAAAACATGTGGGTGGGGTGGAGGCAGGGTGGGGTGGAGGCAGGGTGGGGTGGAGGCAGGGTGGGGTGGAGGCAGGGTGGCGTGGAGGCAGGTTGGGGGGGGGGTTAATCGAAATACCGAGCCGTCACTTGCTGACATGAGATTCTGTGGCCCATGTTACCAAACCTCAAAGTGAGTACTGGATGTGGTCAATCTCAAGCTTCCAGCAGTTTGGCATTTGGCAATATTATGCAGCGCTTCAATCAAGAGCTTCCAACAACTCTCAGAATGTCTTAAGGACTTGCCAAAAAATCACCGGGTACATGTAGAACCCGTAAAGCAGCTGGGTAGAGGTGGTCCTTAATCTGCCGAATCTGGGCTCTTCAAAATAAGGGGTTCGAAACCACCAAAAGGGCCAACTCCTTTCGCAAGGAAGGGATTAAGCATTAAGCATTGCCTTGCACCCCGGCGAGAGAGAAGCAACCCCAACTGGCTCCTTCGCCTCTCGCGAGTTTCCTCGAAGCGCAGAAGCCGAAGTTCGGGCCGAAGCGGCCTATGCCGCGCTGCTCTGCGCTGTGCCGCAGCAGTGAAGACAGTTTCCGGCTCAGCTGTTCCTGCGGGCGGCTGTTTCCATGGCCCCACTCAAAACGACCAACGCATAGATGCAGAACCTCACAACATAGGGCACCTCCTCAAAGGGTCCTTTTTGGGGCAGTCAAAGGCAGATCCAACCAAATAGCAGAAAGGACATGACTGTACATCACTGCGAAGGTCCTCACCCGTAGCCTAGGCGAATACCCAACTCGGTGGGTCCCCTCTGACTGAGAGGCGGATTCAAACGGACAACCGAAGGAGGCTACACGACCAACACACAGGGGATCGCATGCGTCCGCTCAGGCTTACAGCACTCTTTGTCGCGCAAATCGCAGCTGGATCGGACTCGGATCACGCCGAAATGCAGCATCAGAGTCGGATCGCGGCCGAATCGCGCTAGACCCTGTAGGACCCGTCTTCTCCTGGCAACCTGTTGATTGGGATCTCTGACTTATGGTCACCCAATCAGATTCTGCAAAGAAACATTGAAACCTGAGTTACTTTAGGCAGCACGACATGCGCTTCCTGAGCGGGTCGGCAAAGTCCCACCTTGTTGCTTGCGCACCCAACAAGTATAAAGTCCAGAAACTCAGGTAGTGAGAAAAACGGAAGCATCCCGAGCCCTGTGCCATGGCCCGGCTGTAACCGTTGTAGCTCCGTCCTCGCCCCCACTAACAAGTTGCAGCCAGTGGCCCTGGAAAATGGGAACCCTGTGAGTTGAAGACCCCACTGTTGCTGAAGTTGAAACCTAAAAGCTTGCTTGTTGTTGACCCCTCTGCAAAAAGTTGATCACTTGTTGTGGGTGCAATTAGGAAAACGAAGAAAAGCGAGTCTAAAGATCCAACGAAACGAAAAAAAGGAGGCCACTGAACAACTGGGATGCACAGGCCGGCGCTTGTCTGCGCATTTGATGGCAGATGTCAATGCATCATTCTCACGTCACCCGTTCAATTGTGGTAAGCAGGAAATCTACCCTAAAGAGTAAAGGGGACCCCAAATTGTGGCTTTCCTTATGATTTGCCTGTAAACCGCTGATTGTTGCGGGCACCCGTTTGGGGGGTCCATGCTGATCTGAGGACAGTCTTGTTGGTTTCCCTTTGAGGGAAACTCAAGCAAACATCACGTGAGGTTTACAACAACAACTATATAACACATGACGGATGCAAGGAGTACAGAAAAAAACACTGTTTGGACTATGAATGGATGGTGTATCGGCCATCCTGGAAAATATATGCCAAACAAAAACCAAAAACTAGGTCCTCCTGTAGAGTCATAAGTGTACCCCTTTTTCTTTAGTCTATTTTAGTAGTGGAACCCTCCCAACCAAAAACGGGGAGAGAGAAGGGCACCTAGCTGGACCTAGAAAACCCAATAGCCTCCGCCGCGGCCGCGCCTCGCGGTGCAGGTCCACTTGGGGCAGCTTCCCGGGCTTG